TATTGGTTCATCTTCATATTCTCTGTACTTTCTGCCACGTCAAATAAGTAAATGACACAATGGAAAAAACCTAAAACAAGTAGTCCTATTTCAAACCACATTTACTTACTAGTAAAATTTCTTTGTTATGACACTTTCTCCAGTTTATAGGACCTCTCTCATATTCTATCTTGTCATATCTAAACTCATAGTCATGTATGTCCTCTAACCATCTCATGACACTTTCCAAACCACTTTTATCGGATGTAAAGTAAAAGCATGGATGGTTATGTAAAACGTCTAAAGTTTCTAAAGAGTCTCTCAAAGTCCAGTCTACTTGGTATTGAAAATCCATGTGTTATAGAACGGCGGGTCCACTATAAAGAAAACATTTTCCTTGTCTTTATATTTTTCATACAACTCTGTCCAATGACATCTCACAAACTCTATACCCTCAATATATTTTTCTATGTTCTCTTTGAAAACATTTGTATAGTTAAGATATAAAACTTTTGACATAAGTGTTTCAATGTCATGAACTCTTATAGCACCACTATATAATAGTCTAGCAGATATACTATCCCAGTCAATATACTCTGCCTTTTTCAAAACCTCTCTGACAGTATTTTTCTTATCTAATGGTATACGTTCCATCTTACCTATAGGTATCTTTTCTTTTAACTCTTTCAATATTTTGTTTGTGTCTGGTATATGTTTGAGACGGTTCATATAGTTGTCGAAGTCATTGCATATAATCTTTGAGTCAGGAAATATTGTATGGCACAAATGAGATATATAGAAACTTCCACCGAACAAGTCTACAAATGTTAGACCATTCGGTAGTTTCTTAAGTTCTCTCAATAGAATATCTTTACATCTACTCTTATTTCCAAAGAAGGGTAACGGTGGTTTTGTAAAATTCATTTTATATATATAATAAAAATGTTTTTTCCTGAAAAGTGACAGAAAAGTGACAAAACATGTACGAAGAAGTCTTGAAAATTCAAGAGGGTAGAAAAGAGGTTAGAAAAGAGGTTATATCTAACTTCTACCCTAAACATTATTTTTGTCTGATTTTACGAAGAAGTCTTGACAAAACATGAAAACATATATAATTTGTGAAAAGCTCCTGGAAGACCCGTATATAAGAACTTCATTTATACTAAACATCTTCGGGGCTAGAGGGCACGAAGTGCCTGGAAGCCCCACTGCCTTTTTTTTTTTTTTTTTTTTTTTTTTTTTTTTTTTTTTTTTCTTTGAAATCCTCCAAAAATTCTTCGAAATGTTCTAAAATATAATCTGGAGAATTATAACAAAATTCATTAATTTCTAACATATACGTATCTAACAATTCATTTGGAATTTCAAACGATCTTAAATATGTAATTGAATTTTGTATCTTCTCATTTATTTGAGAAAGTTTTTCTTCAGCATTTTCCAATAAAAATCTTAATGGATTCAAATTGGCTTCTTGATTCTGAACAAAATTTAATACTTGGTATAAACGTGATTGAACTTCTCTTTTCAATTTTGTTTTATAATCTGTCAATCGAGGCTCGCGAATTCTAATTGAAGGAATAAAACCTGTTTGAAGTAAATCGTTTTTAATACGATAAAAGTAATTGGGTGCAACTTCTTCTAAAAGATTTTTGACAAAAACATCAATTCTTTGATTTTTAACGCAGCCAAAATCGTGATATTTTATCTTTTTAAATAAAGATTCAGAAACGTTATTCACAACGGTTAATTCATTTGGTCTGGCAGCGGCTATCCACTGTTGTTTATGAATGTCCCACTGACGTGTAAAGTATTGATTAAATTCCAATTGATCTTGAATTTTATCAATAATGTGCTCTTTATACATTTTTGCAGCATCTTCTTCTGTGCAATCACGATAATAACATAAAATGTTCATAAATTTTTCGACTTCTGATCTAATCTCTCCATCATTTATCTTTGAGAGATTCTTTTTAAGTGCGCGTATTACATGTAGCGCGCACCAAAAGATATTGCACTCCGGAAATGAATTCCTAATCCCGTTGAAAATGTTTAGTGCACAGTCAGACATGATAAATTCAGGTTCTGTGTGAGTTGTTTCAAAATATTTACTTAAGCAAAAAGAAATATTTTCACTATTATCTGGATATATTATAAAATAACACAAAGGGATAGAATGAGTATTAGCAAATTTGGTAGCTAATACATAAAAAGGAAATCCATGAATAATTAATTTAAACGTAGAGTCTAAGTGATAAATTGGTGGTTTTTCATGAATTTGAGAGATCATATCATTATCAGAGTAAATAAAAACCAATTTGTCTGGAAAATCAGTATCTTCACCTTGAATGTCAAAATAAATAAGGTCATCATGTTGATCTTCCCATTGATTAACATAGTTTTGTAAAGATTGAAATTGATTTAAAGATATGTCTGGTAAAGATCTCATAAGATCTTTTTGTTGTAAATAATATTTCAATTGATTGATTGCAGTTTGTTTCATAGTCATGTGAATACAAGTATGATCTTTAGGTATTTCAAGCGTTTTGTTGACTTCTTGTGTTGCATTAAGTGGACTTCCGTGATTCATGAGAAATTTTTTAATCCAAGCACGGTAAGTACCACTTGTAGGTGTATTTTTATGTTGTGGTGGTGGTCCTGAGTGAATATGAGTTAAGTTTGCAGATTTAAAAATGTAATTGTCGAAATTTTTAATAAATTTAAAGCCTGCTGGGCAGCCTTCGTATTCGCATCGGTGGTAGATTAATACTCCTGTTCCAATTGATAGTTTTTGTGGGTCTTTGACAAATCTTATGTTACCATGCAGCTCTGCAGCTATAACAAAACGAGAATATTCTAAATATCCTATGGCTTGATCAACCTCGCATGGAGGATCGGGTGGAGGATGTTGCATTGAGCAGCAAAAAGGAAAAATAAAATTGAAAACTCACATTGAAAAAATAACGGTTTAATAGAAAATATTTTTTTTCTTCTGAAAAAGAATTATCTTTGAGTATCTAAATTGGGATAAAGGATATAGAATAGATAACTAGTACTTAATATATGATACATGTACACGAAATGGAAGAATGTGTACTAAAAGAAAGAGAAATTTTAGCTTAATATTTTACATACGAATCAATTATCTTTGGTTAAAAGGTAGAATTGTTGGCTATGATGTACTGATTCATGATCAGTACATCATAGCCAACAATTCCTTATACAAAATTCAAAAACTTGGGTGCAATCAGTTCTGATTGCACCCAAGTTTTTGAACTTTCTTGAGGGAATGGAAGAGTAAGAGGTATACATTATGAATATATACCTCTTACCCTTCCATTCCCTCTGACAGCGGGAAACTTTGTCTGAATGTTAAACTATTCAGACAAAGTTTCCCGCTGTCAGCGAAAGAATTGTTCCATCTGGTGCATAGAGTGTGAATCTATGCACCAAATGGAGCAAGTCCCTCGCGAAATTGCCAAAACTTGCGTCGCATTTCAAAGATTGTGACCCAAATTTTGGCGATTTCTAGTAGAGATGGAGTATTTTGAGTCACTGACCTATATGCAGTGGCTCAAAGGGCTCCATCTCTACTTTGAAGCAAGGAAACTTTCCTCGAAATTTTGATAATTTGAAGAAAGTTTTCAAGCAATTAACAAAGGATTACTCGCTATGAGGTAAAAATTCTAGATTTTCACCTCATAGCGAGAGCTTCCCTTTCATTGCTTGAAAACTTTCCCCAGCTTCAAAATTGGGGAAAGGGCTGTAAAGTCGACTTCGATACCAGCAGGTACCAGAGTATTTAAAAGAGAAGCCCTCGTACGAGTTTCTATGAAGACCTTCTCATTCAAGAAGATCTGAATAGAAAATCGTACGAGGGCATTGGAAACTCGCGTCTGGTACATGTTGGTACCAGAGTGTTTGAGATTTGAAGACTCTGGTACTAACATGTACCAGAATTTATGATGAATTTAAGATGGACCATTATAAAATGGTAGCGGTTTGTTTCAAAAAATTTTAGATGAGATTTGCATAGATATAGATTATATGATTTATACATATGAAAAATAATATATAAAAATATAATTTTGAGATAATTATGTAAATAATATTTTAAATATTTGAATTTGAGGTATAATTTTATAGTAAAATATATTATAAAGAGTATTTATATAAATATTGTAAAATAATATAAGTAATAAAAATTGAGACCCTTCCCTGTTTTTGATGTTTTGTCACTTTTTCGGTAATTCTTATTGTTTCACATTATCATCTGTATAATGAACGCCAAAATCATCTGCATAGCATAAATAACAAAAGAAAAAGCTAATGACTTATTTACACCTTTTTTTCTGCTTTTGTCAAATTTTGAACTCACCAATGTTAGCTAATTCTGATTATCCAAATAAATACTTTGAATTGCGAAGTATCTATCAGTGCTATGTCGATTCATATAATGCATTGTTTCGGCTGCAAACGGAAAATGAAGAAGAATTAAAGTCGATTTACAAAATAATCAAAACACAATTGATTGATTCAAAGAAATACCTCCCAAAATATATTGTGGAAAATATTTTTGACATGATTCTATATAATAATCGATATACAAAATCATATTTATTTCTTGCCAAACTCATAATTGATGATTATCATGTCAACGAGGTCAACAATGTTGAACTACTTTCAAACTACCTATTTTATAAAGAATATGGAATTAAATTATACAAGTCTACTGTTTTCGAAGAAATAGAAAATCTGGATATTCATCAAGAAAATACAATTTACAGAGCTATTATGAATAATGACCTCGAAATGTTCATCCAATTCACCGAAAGAGTGGATTTGATAAAAATCAAAAACTTAAAAGTTTTTTATATCCAGATTCTTACATAGGATATTCATTTCTTGAATTATGCTGTTACCATGGAGCAATTGATTGTTTCAGATTATTAAGATCGAAATTCAACTCAGAAATTACTCAAACATGTCTAGAACTTTCATTTTTAGGAAGAAACCAAGAGATCATGAATGAATGTTTGAAATATCAAAAGCCAAACAATAAATGCATGAGATATGCAATTATTTCACACAACATTGATTTTGTTACATTCTTGATGAATAATTACAATATAGAGATCGATTTATTTCATTGCAAATTGTATAATAATCTTGAATCATTTTTTGTTTATTTCGATCAAACTAATGATATTAACACTTGTTTTATTAATTCAGTGATGTTTAATATTCCATCTCTTTGTAAATATTTCCTTTCACAAGGTGCAAGTATCAATGCAAAAGATGAATATGGTGCAACAGCTCTTCATCAAGCTGCACGATTTAATTGTATAGAAATAGCTGAATTCCTTATTTCAAGTGGTTTAAATGTCAATGAAAAAAATGCATACGAAGAAACCTCTCTTCATTATGCAGCACGTTTTAATAGTAAAGAGGTTGCTGAACTTCTTATTTTAAAAAGTGTAAATGTCAATGAAAAATGTAATAGTGGAGAAACTGCTCTTCATTGTGCAGCAGAAAATAATTGTAAAGAAACAGCTGAACTTCTTATTTTAAATGGTGCAAATATCAATGAAAAAAGTAATAATGGAGAAACTCCTCTTGATACTGCTAAAGAAAATAGTCATATAGAAACTATCGAACTTCTTATTTCACATGGATGAGAAATTATGTTTCTATATATGATGCTTTTCTATCTCCTTTTAATAATTTCGAAGATAAATTCAGAAATAATAAAAGAAGACTATTTTTTTATAACAAATAATAGACAAAAGGGAAATTTACTATTACTTGAAGACAGCGAATAGTAGGTTTTGTTTCTGTCTTCCTTCAAATTATTCATAAAAACAACTGCAATATTAGCGTTATATTAATTCTCAATACTCCATTTTCTCTAATTAAGAATAAATATTATTTCCGATAATTTCGCTAAAACTAGTATCAATTTCTTAAATCCAATCAGCATTGTATGTTCAATTTAATACATAAACTTAATAAAAACTTTCTTAGTTATATATGAATAATATATAAGAATAAAATTTATAACAAAATAATAAATAAAACAAATAAAATTATTAATTAAAAGTAACAATATCAGTATTATCAAGTAAAGCAGCTGCGAATAATCTCTTTGGATGGAATGCTATATCAGTGACTGGATGTAACTTTGCAGATCCGAACAGAACAGATGTAGAAGTTGACAAGAAAACGTGATTTTCGTCTTCCAAGTCGAAAAATGTAACTCCTCTGTTTGTTCCAACTGCACAAACTCTTGCACTCGGATGGCAAGCGTATGAAGTAGTTATCAAAGGAAAATCACTGTTATTAAGAATCATTGACTTAAAGGTTTCGGGCTTTCTTATATCAACAACGTTAATTGAACCAGATTTTCCAACAACAACTAAATCTAAATTGCATCCACATAAATCAGAGCCAAAAGTATTTTGTACTTGCAATGAAAAATATGAATCGCAAAGTGATGATCTTCTATCATATAACTCAATTGTTTCTTCACCAGAAACTAAAACAGAATCTCTCAAATCATCGCAAACACTGAAATTCAAAATAGTCTGGTTGTTTCTTGGAATTACAGTGTTGTAATACTTCTCAGTAATCAAATCAAACAACTTGATTTGGTTCATTTTTTCTCCTAAAACACCCAATAAACTACTTACACTTGAGCATTTCATCATTGATATTGTTGTTGATATTTCTGTGTCGAAAGCAGTTGCGATCTTGAACTGTCCGCCTCCATTTGGAATCCTTAATCCATAGACTTTTCCTTTGGAATCTCCAGCCAAAACGATATCACTCAATGGACAATCAATTGCTGTAATTGCGTTTTGAGTAAATCTCGCGTTTTGTGGCTTCTGAGTTGTTGTTAAATGAACACTTGTGAAGCTTCCTGACTTCATTCCCATGAACAAATATGATTCCGACACGAAGATGTTTGAGGAAACATTCTGTATTGGATCAAGAGTTGAATTAGTTTTTCGAATGTTTTGATTGAATTTTATGTTCTTTTCCAAATTCATTTTCGGGGAACATTCGAACAATTTTTTGTTTGGATTTAATGTATCTATTGATTTTCCAAGGAATTTTGTTATGTAATGGTCATACATCGATGATTCCGGTACTTGATTCACGTTTTCCATGAATTTTTGTGCCATGTTTGATACCAAACAAAATGGATCATTCATCAAATATTTTATATCACTTTGTATTCCTTTGATTAGATCTGTTCTGTTCTGTTTAACAGACAATTCGTACAAAGGAACAAAAGTACAGATCAGCTGCGATCTAACGATGATGGAAATGTCGTTAATCATCGAATGACAGATATTATAAATTTTGTGTTCAAATCTCCATTTCAAAAATGAAGGAAGACACAAAAGTGCTGCACTTCTCACGTTTGGAGAATCATTCTTCGTGCACTCGTCAACGAAATTAAATATTGTTGACGAGATGTGGTCAAGAATGAAAGGACCAATGCTAGAAATGAAAAGAAGTGTCCAAACAGCTTGATCTTCTCCCATTTTGATCATTCTGTCAATGTATTCTCTCCATGGGAATCTGATGATGTTTATGATGCGACGCTTCCACTCTTCATGGTTATCCAGCTGTTTGAAGAACCGGAAATTGATTGCAATGATAATTATGGCAGAAAGTGAAGTCAACGGTTCTAAAGTGAAGTCAAGTAAATTTGATTTCATGAAAACTGTGTCAAGAGTTGTAGAAAAGTTCTTTCTGCATTGTGGAGCGTAGCAAAGGCTTTTCGCTATGATGAAAAGCAAGTATGGGTCGTTTTTACGCTCAGAAAGAAGTTTTCTCATTGGTTCAATTAATGGAAAGAGCCAAGCAGCGTCTAGAGCTTCCTGGGAGCCATCCATGAAGTTTGCAAGGAATTTGCAACCGTCTTTCCAATGATCTTGCGAAAGAAGAACGTGATTCATCACTGATAAATATGGATAAAAGTCAACAATCGAGGAATTGCACTCTAAAAGAAGGTTTAGAGTCTGCATGTTCTGGGAAAGAAAGTTGTTGAGCTTAAAGTTCTGGTTCTGCTGTCTGAACCGGTATAATGCTTCATCTAATTGTAATGAGAAACTTTGCCATTGAGGATTGTCCCGTAAATCAGGTAAAGGTGGATAAGACATGGGATGGATGTTGAAAAAGTCTAAAATCTTCTGCGCCATGATAAATCCACAAATACATCTTGAAACAAAAGCATCTGTCATGAAATACTTGATAAACTGTGATCTCTTGAGGACTTTACAGGCCATGGATTCAATATATCCGCGTAAAATTTGATCAATTGTTTGGATTAATTCAGGACTTGCTTGGCTGAGATCGTCTATGTGTATAGGTTGTAGAGGACCGGACTTAAAGCAGAAATAATGGGACGAATGCCACAGCAAGGCCATCTTTCCTGGAGAATTCAAACAAGATGAAAATAAATCTGCTGGTAAGCCTGGTGATCTTGGGTTTCTTTCTGTAGGACTTGATGAAAAGAATGCATAGAAGTTGGTTTTAACTGTTTGATTTGTAAGATTATGTATATATTTTTGATAAATACTTCCTGCGAAGTCGCAATCGATTATATGAATACCAAAAGCTGCTGTTTTGTCTATAATATCGTCAAATGGTATTTCTGAAAGTAATTCTGAAGGAGTTCCTTGTTCGGGAATTGTATCATGAGAATTATCGGCAACAAATTGAAAACATTGTCTCTGTTCATGAACTTGTAAGTATGAGTTACCTATTTTTTTGTTATAAAATGTCAATAAATTTTTAATTTGGTCAAAATCGCAATTTATTGAAAGACTTGTATGGCGATATGCTTCTTTTCCATATGCTAGTTCTATATTACTTTCTAAAGTTTTTGTATCTTCTTCAGTTCCTGGTGTAATTTTTGTCCAAAAGTAAGTGGGATCGTCGAGATGAGGTGCTTTTAGTTGTAATGGTTGTGGAGGAAGATATAGTAATATGAGGTGGTGAGTCGTTGATGTGAATGTATCAAAAATAACATTTTCCGGTTTATAATCTCTCGGAAAATCGAAAATTGATAGAGAAGAATGTGACCAATCTGAAAACAATGGGTAGCAGGTCATATCTTCCCTATGTATTATATAATCACTTACTTTATTTGGAGGATTTTGCTCCTCCATAAACTTTTTTTTATAAATTTTTTTCTGAATATGAAGTTTTTACTTCAGCAATTTGATTTTGTAAATTTAATTGCTGCTTGTTCGTCCTACATTCTATGGCAATGGTCAATGACTGTACCTACTATGCCTATTTATGTCCCACCAAATGATTCATCCGTATTATATCCAATAATTCAATCGGAAATCTTTCCCCGAAAATCGTTAGAGTACTTTATTTTCTTAGGATCAGCTGCTTTGTTCATTTGTTTTTCAGTTATCAACATTTTCTTTCCGAACATTATCAGAGATTTTAGATTTTTCACATTGCTATGGACATTTATTACATCAGTATCTACAACATCAATCATTACTTGCCTAGCAAAAAGCTATGTTGGCTGGCCAAGGCCAACAATGAGAACAAAGTGTGGCCCAGAAGCAAACTACACGACATGTCGTTTAAATGGTACCAAAAGAGATAAGGAATTTATATCTTGGCCATCAGCTCATGCAACAGAAGCTGGATCTGCAGGTGTTTTTGTTGCATTTTTTGTTCAAGAAGTGTTCGTTGACAAGAACTTACTGATATCATTTGCATCTGCTGTCTTGTTTTTAGGATTTGGAGTCTACGTTGGTGGCTCTCGAATCAAAGATTTTAAACATCATCCTGATGATGTAACAGCCGGACTCTTAATTGGTGCAGGGGTATCCTACTTCATTTGGACAAACATGAAAAAGAAAATATTTACAGTCGAAAAGAAACCAATCGAGTTTGCTCCTGAAGCAAACGAAATGCGCGATGTAGAACAATTCGATGAATCATAGATAAATAAAGTAGTTATATTAGTGTTATAATTTATCCGTATTTCCAATTAATTTTTTTAAAATTTAAGAAATTTTACGATTGGATTCTTGAAACTATAATGATTATATTAACATGATGGTATTTGATATATCATTAAGTGTAAAATGATCACTCGGATATTTTACTTTAATATATTAACAAGTTTTCAATTTTGATCTTTTTCATTGATATTTATACCATGTGAAATAAGAATTTCAGCAATTTCTTTTTTGTTTCTTTCTATTGCAATATGAAGAGCGGTTTTTCCATCATCATCTTTTTCATTGATATTTGCACCATGTGAAATAAGGAGTTCGATTGTTTCTTTACTATAATTATATGTTGCAAAATGAAGAGGGATTTTTCCATATTTATTTTTTTCATTGATTATTGCACCGTGTGAAATAAGAACTTTGACAGTTTCCTCCTTAAGGATACCCTTACATTGCGTAGTTAGAAAGAGAATATGATATTGTCATGATTGCTAAAGTTTTAGGCTCCAGAAATGAATATACATCAAACTGAAACAATTGATAAATTGAATGAACTTTTGAGAGGTTCTCAAATAAAAAAAATTATCTAATTTTTTACAATATTACTATTATTTTATCCACATATGTATATATAGTAATTTGAGAAAACTTTTAGGAAAAAATAAGTTTAAATAAAAATCTGAATTTTACTTGTTGTGGATTGTTATTAATTGACACTCCAGACGTATTACTAATAGTTATGCGTATGCAATTAAAGTATTTCTGATGGACAAAATTGGTGAGATTTATATCAGATAATTCATTTCTACTATTAAGTTATTCATTTATGAGTTTGCACTTATTTCGCACTAAATAAATAACTATTAAAAATTGTTTTAATTGAATTGACACCATATAATAGAGTGAATTTTGTTTGATCAAACAACAATAGATGATAGATATAAAGCCAAGAAACTTGCTATTAATATGCTCTACTTGCTATTTCAATGTATAGTATGATATTTTCTAAATGTTTCGTTCAGATAACTTAGATATATTAGTCAAATTTGAAATTTTAATAGCACATATATTAAAAATAATTATTATTCATAAAAGATTAATGAAATAGTAAAAAAATCAATCAAATTATAAAAATACAAACATTTAGAAGAATTCTTATTATCCTTCAAAAGTCAGTATTTCTGCTGTAATTTTCTACAACATTGTAGTTATTGCACTTTGTCTATGGATTTGTATATATGTTATATATAAATTATATATCTAAACTGCCCATAAGTGCAATTTTTATATAAATTGTTTATTTCTTTAACAATTTCATATATGAATTATGCTTTTTTAAGCGTAATCAAAGCTGTGTTCTTAATGTGCATGGATATATCAAGAAAAATGTCGAAAAAAAAATGTGAATTCACAAATTCACTGAATTTTCACCGTTTTTTTGAATTTTGCTACAGCACTAATATTAAATAATACTAAAATCTTCTGTCTTTGTAAAAGAATAAATTCTGACAAAAAGTGCTCGTTTAAATTTAATGATCATCTGTATGACTAATGTGTAAAAAGTGTTTATGACCAAAAAAGGTTACATGCTTAGTCTATTTTTCTGACAGGATACTCTAGATTTACATGATCTCTATTTCATATCTCCGTTTTTAGATTCTTCGACAGATTTTATGATAGAAAACCAAGATTAACAAATTTCCGGCATGTTAATGAAGAAATCTGCAGCTACCCTCAATATTATTTCAATAATCAGTATCGTTTCTCTTACAATTTATTTTTTTCTCAATAATTTAACAAGAAATAACAATACACACTTGGTTTTACGTATAAAAGCTAAGTGTCGAACTTAATCAACTTTACTTACTTAGCAAATGAATATTTTGTGGTTGCGAGTTCTGAATGCTGAAGTTTTAGATTTCTCTATAAATGATATCATTGCACTTACAATGTTGTTCCAGCCTATCGCATAAATCATAGAAAATCCAAAAAAAAAATAATATAAAGAAAATTCATGTCATGAAGTTCAAAAAATACCGTGTAACATTAAAATTTGTTGTGCATAATACATTTTAGCTATTATTGATTTTTTTTAATTTTCGAGAAATTGAATGGTGAGTCCGATAGAGAAATTTTTAAAAATCCTAGTCCCTCATAGAAGTAATTTCCCTCGTCTCCCATACTTCCAAATATATGCATATGACATAAACTTTTATGCATTACACAAATGGCCAATAATATCTATAGAGTAAAAAATTAGAATTTAATTTTTTTATATGATAGTTATATTTCAGATTTGCGAGCGTAACTTTTTTCTCCATGGCATACTTGTTTTAAGAGCAAATGATCAAAATCGTCCTTCAATTATTGAAGGAGCTGATATCTTTTGAAAATTGAATTGAAAGGGTATTCAATTTTCAAATTTCCTCTCAATTTTGGAAACATATCAACTCTATGAATTAACAATTATGTGCCTTCACAGTTTATCAGTCATATAAGGTGCTTATAAAGAAAAAAGTTACGCTCGCAAAATATGTTTTTATATAGATTTCACATAAAATAATTATGTAATTTCTAAAAAGAATATTTTTGTTCTTGAATATTAAAGTGTATTGTAGTTTAAAAAGTTTTAAATATGTTGCTAAAATTTCAGGTTTATAGCTCATGTCTAGCATGACTTCTTCGTATGCGCAAAAAATCTGACACGTAAGGGTATCCTTAAATAAATAAAATGCATATGAAAGAGCGGTTTTTCCATTTTTATCTTTCTCATTGATATTTGCACCATGTGAAATAAGAAATTCGGCTGTTTCTTTACAATTATTTTCTGCTGCAATATGAAGAGCAGTTTTTCCATAAATATTCTTTTCATTGATATTTGTACCATGTGAAAGGAAATACTCACAAAAGGAAGGAATATCAAAAATCGATGAATGAACAAAGCATTCGCTATAATCATTAGTTTGATCAAAATAAACTAAAAATGAATCAAGATTATTATACAATCTGCAATAAAATAAATCGATCTTTATATTGTATTCATTCATCAAGAATGTAACAAAATCAATGTTGTGTGAAATAATTGCATATCTCATACACTCTTTATTTGGTGTTTGATATTTCAAACATTCACTCATGATTTCTGGATTTCCTCCTAAAAATGAGAGTTGTAGACATCTTTGAGTTATTTCTGAGTTAAATTTCGATCTTAAGAACTTGAAACAATCAACTGCCCCATGATAACAACATAATTCAAGCAATGAATATCCACAATAATTAAATGGATATAAATTGCTCTCAAGTGTTTGATTCTTATTAAATCCTTCTTCTTCAGTAAATGAAATGAATCTTTCTAGGTCATTGTACATAATTGCTCTGTAAATCGTATTTTCTGAATGAATATCCAGATTTTCTGAGTTAATTTTTTCAGGATCATGGTATTTGTCTAATTTAATACCATATTCTTTGTAAAACAGGAGATTTGAAATAAGTTCAACATTCTTGACCTCTGTGACATGATAGTCATCAGATATGAGTTTGGCTAGAAATAAGTATGACTTTTTGTAACAATTGTTATAAAGGATAATCTCTAAAATATCTTTAATAATATTTTGAGGACGATATTTCCTTGAATCAATCAATTCTGTTTTGATCGTATTATAAATCTTGTTTAAATTTTGTTCATTATCTGTTTTTAGCTGATATAACGCATTATACAAATCAATGTGGTGTGCAAACATACTTCGCAATTCACTGTATTTGTTTGGATAGATGTTTTGATCAGACATTAAGCGATGAAACTTTAAAAATTTGATTAGTAATATAATTTTGCATATAAAGTCTCTTTATATTATGTTATTCATGTTGAAAACAAACTTATAACAAGATTTTTTGCAAATCACTCCAAATCGCTTGATTTTATGAATAAATGTCAAGTATCACACATAATTAATAATAATTTTTATTTTCAAAATGGTACTTTTAATTTCTCGAGTTTCTAGCCAGAATCAATATAGAGTTCATTTGCAAAAAGAAGAGTAGTTTTATAAACATTAACATTTAAATAACAAACAGAGAAAAGAAAATGTAGAATCTTACAAGGTATAGAAGAATTCAAAATCGTCTACGAAATGGAATTCGAATGACTGAGGCTCAGGAATAGATATGATTTCTGATAAATCTTCTGGTGAAACTGTATCAGAAACTTCTGTAGAACTCGATTGAAGAATTGATGGGTCAACTTTGTGCTTAAGATATGTATGCCATCTATTCTTAATGTTATTATCACTTCTTCCATTCAAAATCTTTGAAAACTCAGTCCATCTAGGACCTTTTGCTGTGTAAAGTCGAATAAGGAGTTCATCTTCTTCTTTTGTCCATGCAGCATTAGTGATACGTGGGTTGAGGTACTCACGATATCTTTCTCTGCATTGCTTGCATGTTCTTGTCTCCATGAGTTTAGAGATAATTGACCATTTCTCACCAAAGTATTGAACATAAGCCATCAACTTCTGATCTTCTTCTGGTGTGAACTTACGTCTAAGCTTTGGACGTTCTGATTGAGCTTGATTATTTGTTTGCATTCTTGAAATGTGAAATGATTCTAATTATTCACAATTAAGTTCATTTCGTGACATGTTAATTGTGACAACCGAAATTTACATCTTATTAAAAACTTCGGTTGGGGAAAAAGATTGAATGCAACATGTCATCAATGCCATTATTGTCAGGGATATAATTTATATGGGACTCGATTCAATTGTTTAATCTTATTTGCATATCCGTACCTGCAATTATTTTAAGAACAATCCACATAAAATTATTATCAAAAATGATATTGATTCGTTTCATATTGATCTTTTCGAGCCAATGAATAAATTTGATATATTGAACTACATTTAACATACTCCCTGAAGTATTATGTCGGAAAATAAGAATGACAATCCTTTATTCAATTTATAAAATATATCTAGATTGTTTTATATTTAATTCGCCTTATGTCTCTGAACATTGTTATACTAGTCCATTACGAATCCAACTAGTATTTAAAATACATATGTTTCTATCTGATTTGATTTATAGCAATTGATATATGATGACTAAGTCTCTGAAATATATTTTGATATGAAAAAGAATCTAGATATAAATTACTAACATTTATTTATTGATACTGCAAATAAAAAAAAAAAATAAAATAAGGATTTATCCAAAATCCTCAACAACAAGCTTTTGAAGTAACAATTTATGCTTGATGAACTTGTGATCAGAGTTCACCTTTAAAACTAACACCAAAGTTATAATTATTCCGATAATTATAGCTGAAACTGCGACAATAATTGCAACCTTTGTAGCTTCGCTCATTTTTCGTTCATATTCTGGACAAATGTCTTTATTTATTGAATAAGATTTTCCTCCAAATTTTTTCGGTTTGTAGATGCTTGAGCATTGTACAGAATTGCATGAATGAGCATTTTTAAGGAAATTTCCTTGAACTGTGTTATTTCCGCAGTAAACAAATTCAGAGATATTAGAACCAACAAAAGCATCTTCTGGGATTTTATCTATGTTTCCGTGGACATAAATCGAAATATTATGACTATAAATAAAGTTACTTGGAAATAAAACAGGAATTCCATTATCCAAAATAGTCAAATTGATCAATCCTGTGAAATTATGTAGTGATGGAAGTTCTGTTATCATTTTGGAGTCAATTACAATTCTTGAAGGCTTAACATCTTTTAATTTTAATATCTCAAAATTATTTGAACGAAAAACTATTTCTTCCAGCCAACCAAGTGAAAGGAACATGCTATCATCTAGTTTTACATCGGAGCTAATGCAAATTGTGATTTTGGAACCATAATCAAATGCACTTTTCCCGATATATCGAAGATTTTCTGGTAAATTTATATCTTCAAGCATACAACTTTGGAATACTTCGTTTCCGATGGTTTCCAATGATTTTGGTAAAATAAATTTTGATAATTTCTTGCAATTCTTGAAAGCCATATCATTTATTACTTTTAGGCTTGTGGGAAAGATTACCTTGGATAATAAAGTGCAATCTTCAAAAGCACTTACTCCAATATGAGTTACAGAGTCTGGAATTTTAATTTCAGTTAAACGAGTACAGAAAAGAAAGCATGAATCACAAATTTCGGTTATATTACTATAAGTAATGCCAATAGAAGATAACCTTGTGCATGATGCAAATACTTCTTTGCCAATTTTAGATAAGTGACTCAGAGCCACGGATTCTAGAGAACTGCATCCTTTAAATGCGTAGTCAGGTATTTCTCCTACTGAATTATAAGTTATCGGCCAGTTTCATGATGTACAGTTAGATGCAAAAGATTCTGGAATTATTTTTAATGATTTAGGTATTTGCAATGCTTTCAATGAATTGCATGATGAAAATAATCCTTTTGATAGAGTTGCATTGCTGTTGTATAAGTCCACAATTTCTAAATTTTGACATTTCGAAAAACAGTACTCTCCAACAGATTTTAATGAACTGACAAAATATGTAAAACTTACATTAGTATTTTCGAATGAACGTGAACCTATTTTCTGGATTTTAGGAAAATCAAATTTTTCATATTTTGAACAATTTGTAAAAGCATTATCTTCGATGACCTCAATATTGTTAGTATTATTGATATTGATGAGATTTATGCAGTTAGCGAATGTACTTTCTTTGAGAACTTTTAATGAATATGGAAGTATGACATCAATGAGATTTGTGCAGTTTTGGAATGATGATTTTCCAATGTATGTGTTAGAATTTTTGAAATTAACTTCCGTGAGTTGAGTACAAGACCGAAAACATTCATCATCTAGTCGTTCTAAGTTCGTTGGCAAAGATAGAGCTGTAAGACTTGAACAATTGGTAAAAGCACCAACTCCTATTACTTTTATAGTGTCTGAAAATGAAATTTGAGTAAGACTTGAGCAACCAAGAAAGCTTTGTGTTCCTATGCTTTCTAAATTTGGAGGAAGGGTGAGTTGCGACAGGCTTTCACAATATGCAAATGCTAGATTTCCTATTACTTGAAGAGTCGATGGGAAAATAATTTTTTTATAATTAACGCATGATTGGTATTCCGAGTCTTTAATTTCAGTAACACCTTCTGCGATTTGAAGTGTATCTCCTTCATTGCATATTTTTGAAAATACGAATGAAACAATAGCGAAAATCAACATTTGAAATTTTTTGACATAAAATTCTGAACGGTTCAATAAAGTTTTGACAAAGATAATACAACCTGAGATGAAGAAATATCATTTTGTTAAAGAATAAACCCGATCATGACGATAAATTTTGATCATTTCAGATTCAGGATCGTTTTCAAGAAATTTTCAGCTGAATTCACGTTTCCATCAGCAAAATGGTTTTATCTTATTGAGCTGGTGTAAAAGTAGTTTTCTGCATATACCAAGTATATCCAATATGTTTAATGCCGAAAATTTAAAAGAAATTCAAAATTCAAATTGACCCTTAAGACTGATTTGTGTATCATATGTATTAGCATGGTATATGTGAAGATAGATGTTGATTTATTTTTGCTTAAAGATGAGAAAATTATTTGAATCATTTCTTTAGATGTATTTTTATACACGAGAGAATCTATCGATATATGTACATCTTGAGCTATGAATTTAGATGCTGACACGTTAAAATTGAAAGAATTAAAAAAATTTTATTTGAATAGTTTAAAATGGAGTTTTTCTATGATGATGAGTATTTTTATTGGTACTTAATACCAATGTTTCAATTAGTTGCCAAAATATAAAAGTTGCGATGAGTTCATTTGCAATAAGCATGTCAAAGTATAAAATAAGTAAATATATCAACGTGTTTATAATTACAAATAAAAGAAACTACAAAAATAAAAATTATTTGATTTCACCTGGTTTTCTGCAAATATCTGTCTGGATACCTGCTCTTCTTCTTGTCATTCCGGCGCATTGCCTGAAGAAAACACCTGAATGTATTTCATCACACTTCAAGCAATCAGTCAACTCGCCATTTTTGTCACATCCAGATCTATCTCCAAACATGCAACGAGTAAAGCAATGAATGATGGTATTTCTCATGTTTTCAACCCAGCAGTCAATGCAATCTGAGCTCAGTTCTGTCTTTTTCATAAACTTTTTGGCATATTTTCCTTTTAATAGTCCAAAAAAGGTAGCTTTTGTAGAAATCTTGGTCAAATTCAAACGTGTTTTCTCATAAGCCTTCTTATCGGCTATGGAAGAGCACATCCCGCATGGTCCTTGATGAAGAAGAAAAGCATTATCTTTTTCAGCTGCTTCGCGTGACACATATGTTATAGCTTCACCTGTATAGTTGTCCTTTGGAGGAACTGCACAATATGTGTATGTTTGATTATCCATAGCCCATGTATCAACAGGTTCAAGATATCTTGAAACTTCTTTTGTGCCATTAAAAAGAGAAGGAGCGGAACATGTGCATTTAGTTCTATCACTAGCATGTGTTTTCCATCCTTTAATTGCATTTGAAATAAAACATTTTGCATCGGTGGGTTTGCAATAATGCATTCTGCATGTCCTGCTGCATTGCCCATAGTCTAAATATATTGCACAAATTGTTATTGCTATTGCAACAATCACAATGAATGCTAGAACGCAATATATAACAATCATCCACCATTTTTTATATAATTTCTTGCCACTTTCGTTCTCGACTGTTTCATCAGGTTCTAGAGTTTCTAAATTTCCTGGTATTTCATTTTCTTCATTGTGAAATTCTGTTGACATTGTTTAAAAGTGACTTTTTAAGTTTATCTGACCTTTTTGAAAAGAATTTGCCCTGAGAAATATCCGTTTCGAAATTTGGTAAATTATACAGCTTGTTAGTTTATTAAAATTTTTCAAAATATTCGTCCCCAAAGGTTTCAGAAATAAATGTAAATTATTCAATTTTGAAAGGTGTAAAATAATTTGACGTTTCAAAAAAGCATAAAATATTCTTTATATTTGACATCTCACAGGATCCTTTTAGATGTTTGATTATTTTATGATTATAAAATGGATATTGTTGTAAACAGAAATTCGTCAAAAGTGACACCTCAGAAAAGCTAAAATATTGAATTTTTGGAACTTTTGATAGAGCACGTTTTTAAATATTAATTAAAGTAAATGTATATTTTGTAAAGATTCTTTTTAATAAAAAAATAAAATTTTGAAGAAGAACACAAAATCTTCTGAAAATAATATCACATAAACTCATATTATTTTCTAATATATAACTATTTTATATAAAAATCAAATTCAAGGATCTTAAAAAGCGAAGGATAAACCTCAAAATTTACGAATATAATGAGTGGGAATATAATGCTTATCTATCATAAAACCATATGAAATATCAATTTTTGCTTTACGCCTATTCCCACTCATTATATTCGTAAATTTTGAGGTTTATCCTTCGCTTTTAAGATCCTTGAATTTGATTTTATATAAAATAGTTATATATTAGAAAATAATAGAGTTTATGTGATATTATTTTTCAGAAGATTTCATTCTATATGCCTATGAAAAGTACTCTCAAAACTAACTTTTTCCTAATTATAATTAAATCTAGAATATTGTATTATGCTTAGTATTATTTCATTTTTCTCATTCAATTTAGAATTTACAAATGTCAAAAAATTGAGAGCTGTCACTTTTGATGAATTTCTGTTTATTACAATATATCAATAAAAATAAGCATTAATTAAAATAAGTTGAGATCAAATTTAACTTGTTACTTATATTAACGAAGTAAAACAATTCAACACATCATGGGGATCATTATTTCTAAGATTTGCGGCTCAAATTCGGGATTATGAAAAAAAGTGAGGGAAAAAAAACTCATTTTTTCGGTCAAAAAAAAAGTGGTATGAGCATATTGTTTCTCCTTTATTTGGCCATTGAAAAGGAATTGATCGATGTTATTAATATGATACAATGATTTGCTAGGGACTGAAGAATATTAATATTGCTAAAATTCAATTATTCGATGTTCAACTCATCATAACTTGCATTAAAGATGATACCTTTATTTTTTTCGAAATATTACAACGGTTGAATTTTATGTCTTACCTATGATAATCAAAGTACTATTTCTGCATTATAAATTTAAAACAATATTGAAACAGCAGATTGACTAGTCAATTATACATACTATTTGATGATAAAATCTCAAATACCTTTGCTTAACTTCCGTTTGATTCAGATCCAGTGTTTATTATTCTGCAGCAATAGTCACTAACAGATAAAAAGATCATGATGTCAAATCTAAGCATGCGAGTTTGCTACACATTTTGTTCAAATTTATTATGGAAATGCAATTCACAAAATTTGGATTATAAATACTATTGAATAAAAGCATGATATTATTGATTATTTTCCATATATTTAATATGTTTTTTAAACATGTGAAGAAAATTCTTAATTTGAACCATAAATATTTTTATTTTACTAATAATGCTTGATGATCTATAGACCAATATATTATAATTGATGTGAAACTATGGGTGATTTAAAATTTTGGTAGATAAGTTTCTTTTATATACTATTAAATAATAAAAATTGAATTTAATGTATAATTAACATATTTCAGAATAATTATTTTAGAATAATAAAAATTAATTCTATCTATGGATTTAGAATACAATAAAAATGCTTTGTTGACCTATAAATTTTAAATCTTCAAGATTTTTAACCTCAATTTTCCAAAAAAAATCGAGAATTGAAAAAATCATTTTTATTTTTAACAAAATTGCTAAAGCATTTTTGAGAATAAAAAAAATTTGGAAAAAATCACAAAGAAGGACTTCATTCCACGCATCCAAGGCAATAGCTTTCCGTCAAAAAAAGTTCAAACATTTTGAATATAGTAATCGATTTTCATCAAACACTTATTATAGTTTGTTTACCGTTAACTGTTTATTATATCATTGAATTCCAATACATAGGATCATACTATAATTAGTATTCGAAACTTATCAAAATTTCGCGCAATTTAACAATACTCCAACTGTCATATACAGCCTTTATTACCACTTGCTTATTTTAAGACAGGGTGATTAATATAATTAACGATCTAATGATTTATTTACCCAATTCTAAATATTTTTTAATTACAAATCCTTATTTCTGTATGTGTTATATGCAGATATATAAGAAAAATGAAAAAAGTTTTTCTTCAAAAATTTCCAGAAAATAGCTATTAATTAATAAACAATTTGCATTTTTAACATCGAGTTTTGCTCTTCTTGAGCGATATTTTTCATTAACTTACATAGTACAATAAATACATCTACATTAGTAAGTAATATATGAATATTTTAAAAGTTCATAATATATCTCGAAAACGAATGGAAACTATTCTATGTGTTCATACACACTGCTTCTATGCTTCACATGCCGATCATAATGAACACAATTTTGGTCGATAGCTAAGTTGTTGATGAAGTATCCTCATTCTTACTTCAAAATAAACGTACAGTATATCAAAGTAGAATGAAAGGACCAACGAGAAAGATTCCAGAAGATATTAAAGCGAGAAATAGCAAAGAACTAAAAGCTTTATCTGAATCACTTGCAAACATTGTAGATAGAACAACAGCAATCGAATCACAGATTCAAGCACTCGAAATGGCAAAACAATATCGTACCCAAAAGATTAAGTCAAAAGATGCTTCGAAAAAGGAATCTCCTCAACATCAATCTTTTGATGATGTAACAATTAGTAGTATAGATATCGACATTTCAAAAACATCACCAGTTCAGAGCTATAGTAAGTCAGTGATTGGATCCCAAATTGCCAGTAAGCCTGTTACAAATAAAAATACCGCAAATCAACCATCATTAAGAATGTTCCTCAATATGATTAATCAAATGAGGCGTGATGTTTCTGATTTAGCAACAAGACAAAATGAAATGAAATTTGAACTCGAAAAAATACGCGTACGCTTATGTTAATGAAGATATTTGTATTCTAAATGTTGTTTATATTAATATTCTTCTTTGCATGCTCAATTTTTCATGTTTTGTAATGGTAGGGTATATTATACAGAAAGAGAATTTGCAAAATTTCAAAATCACTTAATATGAGTGCTCAGATATGAACGTGCTTACCATCACATTAACTACGTATATTAGTGCATAATATTTGTCTAAATTAACATAATAAGATTATTAAATCAGTAACAAATTTCAATTCGCAACAAAATTAGCTAATGAACATGTATAAAACAATTACCAATGCTGTACTTAATTTCCATTTTCTAATAAGAATCATTACATTTGATTGGTATCATACATAAGAAGATTCGCTTACGCGATTCCGCGAAATAAGTATTTTTGCCAGATTTGAAAATTGTAGTCCAATGGTTTTAAAAGCTATGTGATTACAAAACTCGATTTATTTGAATAAAAGTAATTCATGGTCTCCTGCCGATAGAAAGATTTTATTGTTATGGGATTTGTTGACCGCGTTCCACACGGTAAAGAGAGTTTAAAGCATCAAACAAGTCTTACAACAATATCAGATGAAGAATTTCATGCTGCATATGCTGAACCAACATTCACAAAGTGGCAAAGATTTGTACAAATTTTACTTTTCATTTTTGGCTTAGGATGGCTTCGTTTCCTTTTAGTATTTGTTCTAGTTCTCGTCTATATAGTCATTATGACTCCTTGCCACGTTTTCTATAGGATTCCTTGCATGCTTAGAATTCTTGAACCATATGGAACATATACATCTCAAAAATTCATTCGTGCATTAGCATTTTTGTTCGGAGTATGGTACATTTCTGTTGAAGGAAAGCCAGACTTCGATGCCCGTGCCTTTGTTTTCAATCATCTGTCATTGTTAGACGGATTACTCACCTTCATCTACAGACCATTTACAATCATTGCAATAAGTGGAATCAAGACAATCCCATGCCTTGGACAGATTGCTATTGCAAATGGCGCCACCTTCATCGACCGTTCTAAAGCTCAAGGAAATTCGGCTGCAATTCGTTCCGTTATGGAAGACCATTCCAAATACCCAGCGAGCATTGCTTCAGAAGGCAAAATTTCCAATGGCGACATCGTATTTAGATTCCGTACCGGATCATTCTTAACAGATGAGCCAATTCAGCCTGTTACAATCAGATACTCATGGATTTTCGCTTTTGGCGGCGTTACTTATAACTGGGTTGTTGATACATTTCTTGAGTGGCTATGGTTGGTTCTTTGCATTCCGTTTGGACATATTCATATTACATTCCTTAAGACAATACCGTCTTCAGAGTTTGCCGGCAAAACTCCACAAGAAAAGGCTGATATGTGCCAACTTTTGATCGCAAACAACCTTGGAACACTCGCCATTGATAGATCGGCCAAAGAAATTTTCCAGAAACCCAAAAATTTAGATAATGTAACTTCTTCCACCCCTTTGCTCAGTGAAGAGCGTGAAATATAATGTTAATTGATATTAATAAATATTTTCATCTATATCCATTGTATAATTATCTATATTTACTACAAACTTAAATTTAATTTTGATTTGATTTTTTTTTTCAAATTTCTTTAATCATATAGTATGCTTGTTTTTCATATCACATCAATGCCAAAATGCATATATACCTGTCAACACTAATATCTATGTTTTCTGTTTTTAATGATTTTTAATGAAATGTTGATGTATAAATTAAGATGGGAATTATTTACCTTGGTCTTAATGGTTGTATTTCGAATGTACCTATTATATACTATGTGTCTATATACGTTTATCACTATATATTTTATTCCTTATGATTCTCATCACATAACAAGATATAAGAATATGATGAGAAAAATGACAACATGTTCTTTGCTTCCGTGGAACAATCCACCACTTCAGAAACATTACTTAATATATCAGACATAATACAATCAAATAAAATAAAAACAGTTATTACAAAATATATAAAATCAAACACTTTATTATTATTAAAAAAAAATCTACAGAATTAAAATGCCCATTCAACTTGAGCTTTCATATTGACAAGTTGTTCTGATATCTTAGTTCTTAGCTTAGTCTTATTCGAACTATTTTCCAAGATATCGAAAAATCTTGAAACATAATCAGCAGAACTTGCCATTAAACACATCGAAATGTTCTGGAGAACGAAGTCTTCAGGCATGTTGTGTATCTCATTCTCGAATGCAATGTTCATGAGTCTTTCGTCACTCTCTTCAGGACGTTCAAAAATAAGGGTGAATTCCAAATTTTCCGAGTCCTTTGAATTGTCAGGTTTTTGAGAAATTGCGAACATTGAAATATCATTTGGAAGAAGGAATTTTCCAATGTCAAACCTCTTGTTCATTATGTAATTCATCATCTCACTGATACAAGAAGCTGCTGGAGGAGCAATTTCGCTCAAAGCAGGTATTATTTGTTCATCCAAAATTTGTTTTTCTTTTTCAGAAAAACTTCTTGGAATTCGTTTTCTCAAAGTAACAATTGACAAAAACGCAATGAGGAAAATCCAGTGACTTTGAGGGACATCTTTATTACCACTGTAATGCATTCTAAGAAGAGGAATCATTGGCATCACAATCGGTTCAAAAGAGTCTTCTTTTTCGATCAAAATTCGCTTCAAAACTGTACATGCGAAAATACAAGTTTGATCTAAAATTCTTACTGGTTCTAAAGCAGCTATTGAGTTGTATATAAGTGTATACATCTCATCATCACGTTTGTTCACTTCGCACGGCGCTGAATAAATGAAATCAGTCACTTCATTCTCATTTTCTTTTTCATTGTCACTTTTTTCTGAAAATTCGGGTAATTTGAGAAATTGTTGAAGTTCGTGAATTTCTTTATTCTCTTCGACAGGCAAAATGAGTTCATTAAACTCCGGAACAGGAGAAATAACTGGCTTCAGGGGAAATCTCGGTGGTGCCATATCCGGAATTGTTAAAGGGTCAATGTCAAAACCGACACTTTCTACACAAATTGAACTGTATTTAATCGGACATTGTCTTTGGAATTTTTGTAAAGGAACAGCACCTAAATCATTTGACAACAGGAAGTATTTATAGTCATTTATAATTGTGGGATCGTTTTCAACAATTATTGCTTGTCCGACAATGTTAAATGACTCTTTATCTTCAGGTAAATGGAAAACAGGTCTGTTGAGGTTATCAACATTCAAAGCACAAATTGCAGCGTAAGCAGCAACTCTTACATGTCTTTCTTCATGAATTAAATATTTAGCAATTGAAAGAGAAATTGCTTCTTTCTGTTGATCAGATTTCCTTGAGTTTATTATATATCCCAAGGCCATTTCCATGACAGGAAGAGGAATAACGGTATATCCATGTCTCATCTTTTGTTGGTTATTTTGTAAATTGTCATAAGCAACAGCCGAAAAAAGAAGAAACATCATTTTCATGGACATCTCGAAATTTTGTACCAAAAAATAAGATAATATCAGAAACCATGGTTGAGGAGGATGTGGTTCTGCAGATCCAATAATAAACTCAACGTATGGTTCAGTGTGTAAAGCAGCACGAGCGGAAACAGCTTCAGAATGAACAAAATTGTCAAATGCCTGTTCCATTTTTCCTGATTCTTTCCAACTTATAATGTTAATAGGAATAAACTTAACATTCTTCTTCTGATCGAGAGCTTCCATAAGATAAGGTAACAGTTCTTTGTCCCATACAATTGGTCCGATGTATTTAGGTGAACAAATAACTAATTCAAGGGAAATTAATCGTGCATATCCTTCTAACTGTTTGTAGTTCGTGTTCAAGAAGTCATCAATCATTCCTTTTATATCCTTAGCAATGTCGCTCCTACCAATACTTAATACGCCTTCAACCATCTCGTTGAATTGAACTGACTTCACTTTTTGAAAAAGTGACGCGTAATAGAGTACTTTATACAAGATTGCGAAAAGTTCAATACTTCCATCGGCTCCTATTTGTAAAAGTGTCAAAACCGTTTCATCGTAAACTGGAAGTCCAGAATTTTCGAAAACTGTAGGGACATACCATGGTTCTAAGTTCGGCAAGATGTCTTTCTTGGCTTCATTGTCTATCTTGGTGAAGATCTTTGTAATTAAACATAAATACTTCGCGTAATCAGGTCCATCTGTGATTTCGATTATTAATTTCTTGAAAAACAGAAGGAAGATGAAGATAACGCGACTAAATATGGACTCGTTGTTGGAATTGCTTAAAAGAGGTTCTACTTTTTGATAAATGGCTTCTAAAACAATTCTCAATCTTGAAAACCTTATTTTCTTGTTTTCCATGCTACGAGCGATTCTCTTACACATGTCATCAAACGCAGGATCGTTTGTAAGTGTAATTCTAACGATATCTGACCCTGTTATTCCATCAATATTCACTGTGTAAATTCCGAGGCTGGGATTGTTCCTCTCGATATCTGCAAGGGCTCGCTGATGTTCTGCTTCGAAGCCGTCAACTTTCAGGTTGGAAAATTTCAAAAGTAATTTATTGACTTCTTGATTGTTTTCGGAGCATTTTGAGAAGTAATCTACAAGTGCTTTGATGAATACTGGTACTCGCATGGGATGAAACTTCAATAAATTTGGGAAGAAATTTAAAATCGCTTCTGTGCAATTTGGTAATGGAAGAAATGTTAAAAGAATATCGAGATTTGTTGAGTCTTTGTCGGAAGGCTTATCTTGAAGTAAATTGATCCTTGTTATGATCTCTGAAGTAATTTTATGAACTACTCCTTGTTCTGAAGGAATTTGTGGTGAATTTATACGCTGAATTTCATTCTTGATTTCGAGTTTAAGCCGATCTTGTGGGAATAAGAAAAATATAATGAGAATATCGATATATGGTTTGCAAGGTTCGAAATTACAAAATTCTTTGGGACCTGTAATATCCCTATAGAGTAAATGAAGCATACAGGCAGGGAATCTGATGGATCTGATTTGATATGCATAGCCCATAGCAGCAAATAAAGTTGTTGCAAGACCTTCTGGGAAATTCGAATTTTCTAGGATCCTGGCATGAATTTCTGGTAAATCAAAAGCGTCTGGTCTTATTTTGGCTATGTAAAATAGCTCAATAAATCTTGTAGATTGAAAAGAAGAAAATTGTTTATCTTTCATATAGTTAATAGAATTTAAAACATATTTTCCGGCTTCTCCTGGACGAGTTGAGTTCATAGCAAGATATAGTCTCTCCATCTGAGTCTTCTGCCGATTAACATTCATCATGAGATTTTAATTAATTAGGGGGAGTGATATTTTATTAAGGGTTCCAATCGACAATATAAAAGTTCTCAATCCATGTCAACTTTATGGCATCCTACAGGGACAAAGACTTTCTATTTTTCAATACTTTGGCAGACAATATGGTAGAAAAGTAGTAGATAAAGCTATTATCTGCTAATGAATGAGCTAAAAAATAAACAGAACCTATTGAAATGATAGTATCTTTGAATTCATATTTTTTTTTCGATTTATATTGCAAATACATAATCCATGCAATTCTGTTGTTTTATTTCGTTAACAAGATACTCTTGCTGGTTCAATGGGCTATGGACTCTCCAGTAGAAGTCTTCTTTCTGGTATTGGCTTGGAGGACCGGCCGAAAAAAAATCCTTTCTTGTCAATAAACGTCTTTTGGATTTTATAAGTTTTTGAGATGCAATCTCGACTTTCAGAGTTTGAGATTAATTTTATTATTATTTTTTTGGAATTAAAATGTTTTCTTTATTTAATCATTTTTATGGTGGCCACTCCTGGTTGAAAAGACTAAAATACCGGGATGGAGCTTGCTGATGATTCGAATTATTCTGATTAGATGCAAGTTGCTGATATTTTTATTTATAAATAGTATTTTACTTCTCTTATCATTTTGAAATATATCCAAAAACCATTGAAAAAAGTAGATATTTTGAATGAATTTTTAAAGTTGGTTCAAACTTTAATCCAATTAAATATCTTAAAATCTTAACTATTCTGTTTTAATACAACAACAAAAAATATTCATATTTGCTGATTTCTAAATGAGTTCTCCTGACGCAATTCATCAAATATATCAAAATGGATACCAGAAACAACTACTCCAAGACAAAGAAAACCTGATCATTGAAGAAGCTCGCAAATTAAAGGCAACTCACCTTTCTTTCTTATTGACTCTGACTAAAATTACGTTTCCACCTGATGAAGTACTCAGAATTTTAATGGAAGTAGTTAAAACAGTTTCACCTGACCTCGTTTTATACAAAAAATGCGCTACAATTTTTCAAGAACTTGCACCTCAATTAGATATCGAGCAAATCGTCGAAAAATTCCCGAATGAAGATCAAGTGACACGAGGCCTCATAATTGGGATTATTCCCATTCCTGTTGATCCACAATACATCAGATTTGTTTTTCAAGCAGCCACTTCTCAGTTTGTTATCAACAGAATTGCATTTCTTAAATATATCGAAAGATGCATTGATACACAAATACCACCCGATTATACTAGATTATTTTGTGGAGTTTTAGAATCGCTAAGTAATGATCAAAGTCCTTACGTCAGAGCTGCTTGGGTGAAGCCAGCTTTGTATTTTCTTAAAGACAATCCTCATATTAAGGGTTTTATTAAGAGAATGACCGATCCAAGTGAAGCTGTTGAAGTTAGAATTTCGATGGCCCTTAATTTCAAGGCTGTTTATGAACTTTCTTCTGTATCTGCATTAAGATTACTAATATCAACTGAACCTCGTGTTATTGTTGCGTTTTTACCACATATTGAACAATATAATTTTACATATGAACAATTAAGACCTATTTACGAATGTGTGGATACAACGGTTCGTGTCTTCATCGTTAGATACCTCGGATTCAAGAAGAAAGAATTAATTGACGAATATATCTTATCTGAGTCAAATGAAGTCATAAATGAAACTACGAAATGGCTTGGAAAGCATCCTGAATATGCAAGCTATATCATTAAATTGATAGATATAACTAAATCAAAGGAAAAAACTGATCTGCTCATTTGGAGAACAAATTACGAACTTTTAAGTATCCCTAAAGAGACAATATTAGCTGTAGGACCACCAATGTACGAATTAGCCGAACAATGCGTTTTCCGTCACCCACAAATCTTAATGAAGAAAGCTTGCGAAGTAATCATGATCTTTTCGGAGGATTCAGTCGATTACATTAAACGTAAGTTCGAAATCGTCCGAAAACTCAAGTCAATGAACACAAATTATGCAAACATCGGAGTTTCCATTTTAGATCCAGAAAATAACTGATTTATATTAGAATTTTGTTTATTAAATATATATTACTATTTATTTATCAATGTTTTTGTTATTTTTAAAATATTTTATGGGAATTTTCAAAAGAAATGAGATAACGAAGCAATAAGATGCCAAAGTAATTGGAATTTCAGTGATTTGATTACCATCGAGCAATCTAACTTTAGTTTTTCCTTGAAATAAAATTAAAAATCTTCCAAAACATATGGAGTTCCTATTAACATCATACGAATTTTTCATAATTGAAGCTAGTTCAATAGAAATTCTTGATGTGAAATAATCTGTTTTTTTTGTCAATCATGATTTGTGAAATGTCAATTTTCGTAAACTCTATCGTTCCCATAAATTGTTTTCGATGTCTATCAAAGAGCAGCTCGCCTCCGAAGACGTGAACACTCGTATTGAAGCATTAACTCGCTTTTCTGAAGCATCAGAGAGTGAGCTTGCCGAGCTTTTTAAGATTGTTTCCGAAGATTTCAATCATCAAGTTCGTGAAGAAGCTGTAGAAAAAATTCTTCTTCATCCAGAATCATTCAGACTGTTTCTTGCAGATCCTGATCCACAAGTTCGCATTTCAATCATCAATAAATCCGTTGAAATCAGAAACGCCTTAGCAGAAGCCGGAAAGCTAGAAAAACCAGAGACTGTTATTGCCCAAATTAAGACTCTCCAAAGTGATTCAGTTTCCGAGGTTCGTAGTGCTTTGGCTCGCGTTTTATACAAACATTGCGGAACAGAAGCAACAGACGAAAGCCGCGCCTTTGTTCTTGCAAATATAGTCCCAATACTTGATAACCTCCTTAACGATAGACACGACGACGTTCGCATTGCCGCATCTCTTAATATCAAAGAAATAACAATCATTTTCGGTTTCGATTTTGTTTTCGAGCAGCTCTACAACTCCCTCCATCACATGCTCACCGATACTCAATGGCGTGTTCGAAATAACGCTGTTGAATTATTATTTGGTCTTGCTTTAGTTTGCTCACAGGACTTCTTCGACGCTAACTTATTCCAGTTTCTTATTCAGTTCCTCCAAGATCCATGCAATAAAGTTCGCCAATTCGCTTTAAGTTCATTACCAACACTTGCAGCGAAGTTTGGCGAAGAATGGCTCAAGAAGAAATTAGTTGTCGCACTCAAGGACCTCGCAGAATCACAGAACTACCTCCATCGCGAAACATATTTACTTACTATCTCAGCTTTAGTTTCCTTCTTCCCAGTTCAGTATCAGAGTAACTACGTCTTCCAGCCAATGATTAGAATGCTGAAGGATAGCGTCTATAACGTTGTACTTCTTGCAATCGAGTTGTTATCCAAACATAAGGACTCTATTCATCCATTTAGAAGACAATACGAACTCAAGCCAATACTTGAGAGCCTTGTTGATAATTCACCTGTTACAATTAAGGATCAGGCTAGCGCATTACTCGCTGATTGCCAATAATCCTTTTTTTCTTTCTTTTTTTTTGAATTTAAACATTTGAGTAATTAAAGACCCGGTATAATCCAATTTTTTTCCCCTTCCCCTTCTAAAATAAAAATTTTATAAAATTAATTATTCTTTTATAGATATATTCAGTACCAATAGATACTCTTGATAAGATTTCTCATTTAATTTATTATTTAATTGTATTTTCCTCTATTTTTATCTAAAACTTTGATATATAACAACTTCGAGATTAATTTGTGCATTCACCCTTACTCATTCTTTGCTTCTTTATTAGCTTCATCAGAAATAGCTATTTTACAACTTCAAGATGACTACTTCATGATGCATAATATTGTGGTGTCCTTTCTTTTCATTCTTTTTTTTTATTAACTTATACAAAGACAAAATTTTAAGTAAATGGGAGTCTAACTATTTTTCCCCTTTCTCACATTAGATAGATAAATGTATCTTCTTTGAATTTATATATCAGAAGGATACATAAATCATTTCAATGAGATCTATCCTTCTATTTTGATTTATTCCAGAACAAACACAAAGAATACATAAAATTAATCGTTTTCACTTGTAGCAATGATTTTCATCTACTATGAAACCGACACAAGATTCATGAAGAAAACAAAAAACATGATATGCTCTATTAGGTAATATTTAATATGAGGATATAAACAAAATTAATGACTTACGAATAAAGTCAAATCTGTAGGTATATTCTCTTATTGAACATTTGATCTTTTTGTTTCTATTATTGAAATTTAAAGGATACAATGCGTCGCAGTGATACGAATCATAATGATTGAGTGTGTTATAAAAAGATCCATTCATGCAATTTTCAATATTTACTTGATCAATAATGGAAAAATATTTTCGAACTACAACTTTCAAAGAAGCATTCTGAATGAATTATTTTTGCATTGTTTAGTGTAACATTAATAATGGATTCAGTGCATTCACGGAACATGCAGTTGTATAGGAATACATCATAACTAGAAAGTGAAAAAACCGGATTATTCTCATTTTTAATAAAATTATTGCATTCCCCAGAATAGTATAAATTCCAGACATCTTTTGGAGCATTATCTTTATGTATGATCCCTATTATCTTCTGAACATTATTTTTGGCAATACTAACTTTTGATTGCCTTAAGGGGCAATCAAAAAATGCCTGTGAAAATCGAAACTAAAAAATTAAACTAAAAAAATTTTTTAAGTAACCACTTTTTGACATTCTTTCAATTTTTCATATTTAAGGTTCTCTATTTTATCACTAGAGTTCGTTTTTAAGCTCATTCATTGCTCTAAAGAAATCCGTCAAATGGCTTTCTAAATTGTATCTTTCTTCATCATAATTCATTCCTTGTGTGCGCTTGAATTCATTTTTGGTTTTTTTCACTCTCATCTGCTAGATCAATAGGGGTTTTCTTATCTTTATTTAAAGCATGTATATCAGCACCATTAGAAACTAATATTTCAAAGAGTTCGTTCTTACCTCCTTGTGCAGCAATATGAAGAGGCGTCATCCCAGTATGACTTTTTGCATTTACATCTGCCCCATTTGAAAGTAGAAGTTCAATTAAATCTTTATTATCATTTTTCGATTCAGGATTAATATATAATATGGCATAATGAAGTGCTGCCATTCCGGCAAAATCTTGCATGTTGACTTTTGCGCCATGTAAAATCAGAAGTTCAGCAATTTCTTTATGGTCATTAATTATTGCCGATATAAGAGGAGTTTGAAGAAATTTGTTCTTATTATAATTTACATTTGCACCTTTTGAAATTAGAATATCAGCAATATTAGTATAACCTTTTTCGCATGCAGTAATAAGTACTGAAAAATCATTCTTATCTTTACTGTTGACGTTGGCTCCATGTGAAACAAGTAACTCTACTATAGCGGCATTATTTTTTAATGGCTTTTTTAAGATAAGTTTCAACAATACTAATTTTATTTAAAATCAAAACCGATGCAATTTTTGTTTGATTTGCAATTATTGCATTATCTAAAGCTGTAATACCATTTGGACCCCAATAATTAATATCTGCACCATTTGCAATCAAATATTCACAAAGAGCTGGAATATGGAATTTTGGAGATAGTACAAAGCATTCATTCACATTATTAGTTGCATTTAAATATATAATAAATGCGTGAAGGTTTTCAAAATCAGCAGCCCTATAAATCCAATCATAAAATTCATATTCATTAAACAAGTGTAAAAAATTGTTAATATTATGAGATGAAATAGCAGCAATCATTGTAGTTTCATCAGGTTTTTGCACCTTCAAACACTCTTGTATGATATATTGATTGCTTCCCTTAAAAGAATAATCAAGACAGCCTTTGCTAATTTCCACATCAAATTCTTTTCTTAATAACTTGAAACAGTTAATAGCTCCTCTCAAACAACATTTTTCAAGTAGCTCACTGAGATCAAGTTTTCCACTTTTCAAGTGATACAATAGTTTATCTGCATTATCATATAATATTGCATATTCGGGTGTATTTATTTTAATCTCAAGTTTTTTTGTCATCACTGGGATTAAATAATCTTCAACAATATGATATTCTTCATATATTCTATTAATTAACTCAAGGTACGCATGAGGATAATGAAAACTTGTTTGACCAATTACTGTTAACATATAAATCATCTCTATTGCTGTATAATATCCAGTATCAATCAAGTTATTTTTGATTTCTTCGTATAATCCGGCTGTTGAGTCTATTTCATTTGTGTCCAATTTATATATTGCATCCCATGTATCAATGTATCCTTTGTACTCATTCATAAGTGTATCATAATGAGACCCTGCTTGGCTCAAGATAAATAGATTAAAAATTAAGTTGATTGCCATGATTTTGTGAATTAACACTGAATGTCAAAAATATTAAAAATCCAAATCATTTTGAGAGGAAAGGGTATTTTTTTGGATTGGATAGAATGTACATACAATTTAAATACATTCCATCAGTGACATTTAATTGTATAATGTATGCATATTCTAATTTGTGACACAGATTGTATATTTAAATTGTTATAATGAATCAAGGGTAATTTCAGCTACAGACTCCCAAATACAAGTGCAATTTACTTCATTTTTCCTATTATATCTAATAGGAAAAATTTCAAAAATATCTCAAACAAATATCATTCATAAACATTTCATTTCTTTCTCTTGTAAAAAAATATTTCATTTCTTTCTCTTGTAAAAATCATTTCTTGAGTTGAAATTTGAAACTTTGTCTCTCAACTGTTTCAAAATCTCAGAAAGGTTCTGCATTGTCAATACTCCTGAAGCTAATAAAAATGTTGGTAAATTTTTGATACCTTTCCATTCCACAAAAAGCGAAGTAATTCCATTCTGTGTTGTTTCCTTTACGATTTCATTTCCATCAACAACATCAAGAGATGCTTGTAACCCTACCTGAGCCAAGTTTGCAGCTGCAACACCAGAATTCAATGGTTCATGAGCAAAACTCTCATCGCAATTCCTCCCACAGCTCCAAATTGGCCATTTTTCATGTCAAATATCGTGTAAAGTGCTGTTGCAACATTTCTGATATATTTGAGAACGGCAAACCGCTCACAACCGCCGCACAACCAGGCCTTGCGAGTTCTCTCAAATAAAACTCAGCGAGAGATGATGCCAAGTGTGTTGAAAGTACAGAAAGCACTTTGCAGTCAGGAACACGCAAATTTCTATGATAAAAAGCTAATATTTTTGATCGAGAAAAAGTTATTATAAAACATTGCTTAGTTCCTAACATGGTTATTATACTCTTTTGCCATTAAAATAAAGATATGTTGATATTATCTGAGCGTGTCAGAAAATGGTAAGTGTTTTTCATATTATTTTAAAGAATGAGAATGAAAAACATAATATTGTGAGTTAAAACAGTTATAGGCACGATGTTTATTAAATAAAATTATCAAATATAAAAATATATAAATTCAGATTTTCAGTTAACTAAGTTTCCTGCAATTTGTAATTCTTGGAAATCGACTGTAGATACAACAGCGATATCGTCAATTTTATTTTTGACATATACTTTAGATCCTTGCATTAAATTCACTTTTCCGCATTGAATATTCTCTGTAATAAGGCAAGTATGGCAAATATAATCAGGCGCGATATCAACGAACTGCTTTGGAACGTATCCGACAAATGAAGGGTTTGGCTGAACCAAATATCTTCCTTTATCATCTTCGGATATTATAGTAACGATATTATTTTTCAAAACACGGATTTCGTCATATTGTCTCGGTAAATAATCATCATTGATTTTTCCGACGTATTTTCCGGAATCTGTAGCGAAAGTATCCTTATCGAGTATCATAGATATATCGAATGTAAGGCTTGGAATGTTGCAAGAGCACGTAACTTGTGTTAATGGCATTCCTTTTGACGGAGAAAGGGCAGTTTCAAGCTCATTGTCCAGTACATTCGGTTGGACAAATAGTTTCAAGAACTCTTGCGTGCACTCCTTTTTCGTCCTGATGTTCTCAATGTGGTTGGCAAACTCGGTATAACAGATTGTAATGTCGTTATGAAGCTTTTCGTCAACCATTTCGAACTTGGTAAGAAATCCCTCGATATATGCATTAAAGTCCGTATGTGCTTTTTGATTCTTGAAATGTAATTCTTTATGATCGCGAAGGAAAACATTTAAATCGTCAACAGCCTTTACCTTTTGGTCCTTAAGTTTCTCGTCTTCCGGGGCTTGTTGGATCTTCTGATAAATATTTTCGATGTTTTTTATTTGCTTTAAATATTTGTCATGAGATTTCTTGAATTCATCATCAGATGCTTTAAGAGCTTTTATCTCCTTTTCAACTTCTTGCATTAAAGCTTTAGAATCAGCAGAATATTTGTCGAAAATATTAAAAAGTGGGCGTCGGAAGTCAGATTCGAATAGTTCGAGTTCGATGTCCAAACCAGGAGGAATACTGAATACAGAGAGCATTACCTTACTAAGAATTTCGTTAAAATGCTCTTCAAATGATGCAAAATCATCGGTAGGACCTGGAATGGGTACAAAGTTTAAATTCGCTGACAGGAAGCTTGAGGCAGCAGCTTTAAGTCCAGAATTGCGCTTTGTTGGGATAGTACGATCGATTTTCGACAATTTTTCAAGAAAACTTTTGTTTGAATCGAGGAAAGCATCAATTTGCTTGATAACAGCCTTCAAAAATGCTTGCTTACCAGCAAAAGCATCATTGATAGCTTGCACAGACTGTTCATATGTTAATACTTTTAGAGAATTTTCTTCCGTCATAAATAAAACTGTCACTTTTTGAAAATTGAAAAGTGACAAATTTTAAATGAAAATTTCAAAATCAATCCGGAATATAGTTTCATCTACATGCACAAAATTTATGCGTGTTGAGCCTTAAACAAGCAAAATTTTATAATTTAATTGATAAAAATAAAAGTTTCATGATGAATGAATTATTGAATTCGACGTTACTATTGATATCGTGTTATTTCACATCTATAAACTTAATCATAATTAATAAATTATTTATTCAAACTTTGCAGACATTGTTTACCATGGAACTTTTTCTCACGGTGGATTAAAAAGATATTTGATAGGGTAAAATACCGATTTCAGGCTTTTAAATTTTTTTCATGTCTGATCAAGATACTCAACAACATAAATACAGTGAATTGCGAAGTATTTACAAATACTATATCGATTCATATAATGCATTATATCAGCTGAAAACGGAAAATGAAGAAGAATTAAAGTCGATTTACAAAATGATCAAAACAGAATTAATTGATTCAAAGGAATATTGCCCAGAATATATTATAAAAGATATTTTGAACATTATCCCGTATAATAATCGCTATACAAATTCATATTTATCTCTTGCCAAATTTATCTTTGATGATTATTGTGTTAAAGAGGTCAACAATGTTAATATCATTCCAAACTACCTGTTTTATAAAGAATATGGAATTAAATTAAACAAGTCTACTGATATCCAAGATATTAAAACAAAAAATCTAGATATTCATAAAGAAAGTACAATCTACAGAGCTATTATGAATAATGACCTCAATACATTCATCGCATTCACGGAAAGGGAAGGATTTGATAAAGATCAAACACTTAGAAGTAATTTATATCCATATCTTGGCATTAATGGTTTTACATTTCTTGAATTATGTTGTTACTACGGAGCAATCGATTGTTTCAAATTATTAATAACAAAATTTGACTCAAAAATAACTGAATTATGTCTACAATTTTCATTTTTAGGAGGAAATCCAGAGATCATGAGCGAATGTTTGAAATATCAAGTACCAGATAACAGATGCATGGAATATGCAATTATTTCACACAACATTGATTTTGTTACATTCTTGATGAATGAGCATAATATAATGATTGATTTAGAATATTGCGTAAAATATAATAATCTTGAATCATTATTAGTTTATTTCGATCAAACTAATGATATTAACAGATGTTTTATTTATTCAGTGATGTTTAATATTCCATCTCTTTGTAAATATTTCCTTTCACTTGGTGCAAATATCAATGAAAAAGGTATATTTGGAAAAACCGTTCTTCATATTACAGCAGAGGCTAATTATAAAAAAGTTGCCGAACTTCTTATATCACATGGTGCAAATATCAATGAAAAAAATAATATTGGAAGTACTGCTCTTCATCATACAATATATTATAATAATAAAGAAATAACAGATTTTCTTATCTCACATGGTGCAAATATCAATGAAAAGGATAACGAAGGAACAACCGCTCTTCATATTGCAGTATACCATAATAAGGAAGTATTAGCCCAACTTCTTATATCATATGGAGCAAATATCAATGAAAAAGATGATAATGGCAAAACATCTCTTCATATCGCAACAGAAAATAATCGTAAAGAAATAGCAGATCTTCTTATCTCACATGGTGCAAATCTCAATGAAAAAGATAAAGATGGAAGAACTGCTCTTCATTATGCAATATATTTTAATAACAAAGAAATAACAGATCTTTTTATCTCACATGGTGCAAATATCAATGAAAAAGATAATTATGGAAAAACATCTCTTCATATTGCAGCACTTAAAGATAGCAAAGGGACAGCCAAACTTCTTATCTCACATGATGCAAACATCAATGAAAAAGATAGATATGGAAGAACCGCTCTTCATAATGCAGCAGAAAACAATCGTAAAGAAACAGCCGAACTTCTTATTTCACATGGTGCAAATATCAATGGAAAAGATGAATATGGGAGAACTGCTCTTCATAATACAACATTGGGAAATAGCAAAGAAACAGCCAAACTTCTCATCTCACTTGGTGCGAATATTAATGAAAAAGATAAATATGGGCGAAATCCTCTTTATAGTGCAGCAAGGAATAATAATATCGAAATAGCCGAGCTTCTTATATCACATGGTGCAAAAATCAATGATAAAGATAATGACAAAAGAACTGCTCTTCATATTGCAACAGAAAATAATTGTAAAGAAACAGTAAATTTTCTTATTTCACACGGTGCAAATATCAATGAAAAAGATAGATTTGGAAGAACCGCTCTCCATATTGCAACACAGATTAATCGTAAAGAAACCGTAAATCTTCTTATTTTACATGATGCAAATATTGATGAAAAAGATAAAAATGGCAAAACCGCTCTTCATATTGCAACAGAAAATAATTTTCAAAAAATAGAAGATATTCTTATTTCGCATGGCGCCAAAGTCATTGAAAAAGATAAATATGGAAGAACCGCTCTTCATAATGCAGCATTTCATGATAATATCATAACAGCCAAAGCTCTGATTTCACATGGTGCAAATATCAATGAAAAAGATAAAAATGGGCAAACCGCTCTCCATTATGCAACACATTTTCGTAGTAAAATAATAGCCGAATTTCTTATTTCACATGGTGTAAATATCAATGAAAAAGATAAAGATGGGCAAACTGCTCTTCATTATGCAAAATATTATGATGACACAGAAATAACAGATCTTCTTATCTCGCATGGTGCAAATATAGATGAAAAAACATTAATATGGAGATACCACTCTTCATATTGCAGCATATAATAATAGTTAAAAAATAACCAAAGTACTTCTTTCATTCAAAATCAAAAATGAAGAAGGAAAAATACTTATTCATTATGCAATATATTATAATAATAATAAAATAACCGAACTTCATATTTCATATGGTGCAAGTTAAATGTATTGCAATGATACCTATTATACTTGTTATGTACCTATTAGGAAATTTTGCTGAAAATTCATTGAAATTATTTTAACTTCGCTATAAAAAATGAAATAATATGAAATTATGAATAGATTGATATCATGCATAAGGATCTGTTAAATAAATTTGAGTATGAGAGGAGCGCATTGCAATTAATAAAAATTGATTTACAATTCAAATATTCATCCTTTTAGTAAAAATGATAATTTTCCAATTTTTTTTGTTCTAATCAAATATTCATCCACCTTGTAGCTTTTTTTTGCTTTTAAAATATAACATACAAAGTTTACGAAATACAAAAACAAATAACAAAAATAATATCTTAAATAACAGCCGGAGTCATTGTTGACTGTCTGATGCGAGCTGTTGAAATTGATTTGACCTTGTGAGTATAAGGGAATCCTGGCGAGAAAATTTCAATGCAAAGGAATATAACGAAATAAGCAGATAAGAAATATATGATAATTCTGTTGATTATTGTCTTTTCTGCATACCATATTGCGCAATACGCGTACATGAAGAATTCAAAGTGTAACATGTATATAACAATCAATGATCTTGAACCTTGCGTGAATGTAAATGCTCTAAATGGAGAGATAAAGGATTGTAATGTCGACCAAAAAGCAAAAGGCTCGAAAAGAATAAAAATCCTCCAAGCCCAGCATATATAAACTATCCAAAAGCGTGGCATTGACATTACAGCGGCGTAGAAGGAATAATTTAGGAAAATTTCCCATATAAGTAAAATATATGTAGCAACTGGTATCGTCTGTTCAAGTGTAAACAATGTGCCATCGTAAATTATTGGTAAGTAAAAAATTACGATAATAAAAAACGGAATTGAATAATATAAAGGAATTATCTTTTCTTCATACATGTAATATGCATTTGTAATTCCTGCATAAACTAAGCCAAATATTTCGAAAAAATGAGCAAAAACTGCTGATACTGCACTTTTTCCGAATTTGATTGAGTAAGGAAGTCTAAACCATGCGAGGCCAAGAAGCGACAATACGAGATATATCGGTTTATTGATGAATGATATTTCTTCGCCAAGATAACTAATTGCATAAACAACAAGTGATGCATAAAACAATCCTCTGTTGTGATCTTCGAGATATATGAGCGTTAGTATCTCGAATACTAACACGGCGATGTGGCATAATCCACAAAAAAGACTGTGAATAAATCTTGGATTCAAAACAAAGAAATAAAAGTGACAAAAAAGTGACAATTCGAAGTAATTTAAATGTCAAATCTAAACATTGAAGAAATATACAAGGTTTTTAACTCATTACATGAAGCAGAAGGCTGCAAACAGTCTGCAGAAGTTCTATTTAACTCAGTTTTAAATCAATTTAATTCTTTCGAAGTCGCAAATCAGCAAAACCTCTTAAATTTCATCGCAGAAGAGTACAGTTTCTTCTCAGGTATTAATGGAGGATTCGACAAAATCCAAAATATTGCAAATACAATGCTTGCATCAGATAATTTGGGAAATCAGACAACTGCTCTTGCAGTTTTGACAAAGGTTTGGCTCCAAATTCCTCTTGAAGGAAAGGAAGATAAGTACAAAGAGTTCATTAATATGTTATTTACTAAGGCAAACGATCCAAATCTTGTTCCCCACCTGAGGAACATGTATTCTCAATGCCTTCACGAGATTAACTGCGTTAAACCTAATTCTCTTAACTTACCACCGCAAAAACTCATGGAAGCGGCAAATTCAAATAATGTCCCGTCATCTTTTTCACAAATCGCTTACGAAACAGCAGGCAAGAGTGATGAGCTTAAAGACTTCTTAGATAAAAGATTTTGGTCCATGTCTCCATTAGAATCCGTTTCATTTTCCCCAGCATTTTCTCCAAATTATCCAGCACCCCCTAACGATCCACTTTTACTCTTCAACGCCATCTCTAATGGCAAAGTTACTAAAGATACAGCACTTTCCTTGATCATCAACCCATTCTCTCAGTTCGGAACTGCAAATACGATTTACGGATTCAAATCTCAATACGAGTTTGACGGATCCACCTTATTTACTCCTTTCGATAATGACGAGACAATCGCAAACAAGGTGTCTCTCCTTGCACACAGGATTTCTACCATAGAAAATACGCCAATTCTTGCGAAATTTACAGAAAAAACCACTTCACCGGCCATTATCTCCTCAGTATTCAATCTTGCATCAAGATTTCCTCCAAACGACATCTTCAATTTCTACAGAAGATACTACGAAAAGACAGAGAGCTACGATGAACAGTGGATCGCGTTATTTAACCAACTTGATGCATCAACGCAAGACACTCTTCGCTGCTTCTTAGTTTCCTATCCATCAAGGAGATCAGCGGCTATAGCACTATTGTCAGGACAGTCTGGAAAAGTACCAATTTCTTGTATCGAGTCATTAACAAAAAGTGACATCAAAATTTTGGAGCACTTTTCACGGGTGTGTCCATCGATTATTGCCAACAAAGTTCATGCGAAACTATTAGAATTTGGTGCAGTTAAAGAAAATACACAAACTTCATCGGGATTCTTAAGTAAACCACAATTACTTTCGATTTCGAGCTGTGTTGTCGAAACTAACTCTGCTACTAAGACAAAAGTTCTTTTAGACCTTTTACCAACACAGAGTAGCCTCGAATCACCCCTTTACGGAGCTTGTTTCAGAATATCTTGTGGAAATATCTTCGACCACGATGAATCTTATGTGTTACCGATCATCAAGGGATCATGCCAAATCCGTTTCGAGATGATGCCAGTGAGAATTGAGAGCGGACAAGTAGTTGTAACTTGCGAATTCACAAATGAAGAAGGAGTTCCTTGTTCTTTCACTGTTGGAAAAATAAATGTTGAAGCACATGATTTGCTTTCACCAAGTGCTGCTGATTTCAAGACTGCTTGGTCAGAAGGCGAAGAATCTCTTGCAATTCTTAATGCAAAGTTCCAAACAGTTTTGGCCGCTATGAACAAGACTGTCATAGGAAGAAGCTGCGAACGCGAAGAAGGAAGAATCCAGGCTGTTTTGCAGACACCAACTGGAAACAACGTTGCAGTTGTTGCTGTTGCTTCTGGAAATCAAACAGTCATTCATTTCAGAGCTCCTTCGATGCAGTTACTGACAATGATTGATGAATTCGTCCACAAATTAGAAAAACAACAATAATTTCTTTAATTTTTTTGCCTATCTCTAATAAACATTAGTATTTTTATTTTTATCGACTTATCCAAACTAAACTTTCTTAATAGGATGATATTCTATTGAGTATGCCCATATCAAATTTTTCCATATCAATAGATTATGATATCTGATTGATATACTGCCATTAGACACGAATACAATTAGATTGTTCATAACTTTCAAGCATTCTACATTATTTCAAAAATTGATGACTTCCAAAATTTCATCCAATTCGAATTATCCAAAGAAAAATGAGTTAACTTAAAATATTCAATAATGAATTTGTAAAAATTTACCACCTATTAAAAAATATTTATATTTCTCCTGGCTATTTAGCAAGACAAAAACATTAGCTGCCACTCTATATGAAGTACATATCAATTTAGTGGCAGTTACTTCACCAACTTTTACTTTCAGGTATATTTATTGGAATAATCCACCAAAAATTCAAATTTAGTAGTTCATTTATACATGAAATATATTTTGCATACATCAAGTATTAATCAGGTGCAAATTCGTTTGCTTGGCCGAATCGACTATTTACTGTGCATTCTCTCAAAATGACCACGGCAATATTTCTCAGAAAAAACGTAGATTTCTCTTCACAAAAATAACCGTTAAATTTGAATTGAAATTTCGGTTAGCCTATTCAAATCAAGAAATAGGTCTATCAACTATCAAAACATTTTTTAAAAAATGCATTCAGGCCGCCCACACTACCACGTCAAGGCTAAGTGGATCGCTTTTACTGACTATACTTCTGGTAAGGGTGAGTTTTTTGAACTAGATGAAAAAGGTAATCTTTTAAAGAAGAATGCTGGCAAACTTGAGCCAACACGCGTTGTTCAGTACCAAATCAACACAGGGGCACCACCACCTCCAGTCGCGTTAATCGAGGAACCAAAGAAGGAAGAGAATTGCGAGTTTACTTTCGTTCCTCCACTTTCAGATGATTTTGATACATTTGTTGATAGCAATGTTGCTCTTGTTGATGAACCGTTCTTTGATTATGTTGTTTTTTAAATAAAGAATATATTATGGAGATTATATTATTTAAAACTTAAAAATGTATGTAAATTACCATAAACAAAACATAACATTTATAATCTAAGACATAGATAACGAAATCCACACCAAATGTATTGGAGATATTCATTTGGAACTTGGGCTAAAAGCATAGACAAATCGAAATCATCTTCATTTATGAAGGTTTTCCATGACTCACATGTCCCTTCATATGCGTTATCCCAACCTTGAAAATGTTTTTCGATAAAGTCGAAGTATTTGTCTCTTTCATCATAATCTGCATAATACATTGATTGTCTTCCTGCACGAATTAACTCGTTTATATTATCATCTCGAATAATTTTAATTTGTTCTTCTTTGGTTAACCTTCTGAATATATTTCTGCTAACATTAGGCGAGATTGAAGATTTCTTACCATCAATACCAACGAAATCATTCATATTTCTTAGCCCACCACTAGATCTTCTATGATTTTTTGTTGGAGTTTTAAGCGGAGGTGAAGCAGATGGTGGAGACATGTTTTCAACAACCATACCTGATAAAAGCATTGGTGAATCTGTTTCTCTTTCAGGAGATTCAGGTTGTTCGTATTTATTAAAATCGATTTTGAAGTCAATTCGATGACCTTTGAATATAAGTATGATATCTTTAAGTAATTTTCGTGGTGTGCTTTGATCTTTCCCCCATAACGAAAATGCCGGGGTTTGAGATATGAGCTCCGAAGCAATTCGCAGTGATTCTTCGAGTTGATCTGGCTTTACAGTTCTTCCGCTAAGATAATATAGAGCCCCGATTGAGAGAAGTAGTAATAGTGAATCTTGTGGACAATCCGCTGCAGAATAGTATAAATAGATAAGATCATCATAACTTCTATCAAGTTTTAAGAAATGGTTACTGAATTTAATGATGTTGTTAATAACGTGGTTAAATTTTTCGCGCCCGGTAGATAATTTGTAAAGCGCTTCCGCTAAAGACTGAAGTCTCATCGCTATATCCGTCTCAGGCATCAGCATATCTTTAAAAATTTTGCTTTCTATATTATCTCTTGGTATTTTATTTAAAAGTTCGATGTGGGATCCAGATTTGTATGGGGATATTTGAGGCAAAGTACTCCTAGGTGTTCTAAATTTTGATGGAGTCTTTTTATTGCTTGTTGGTGTCTTAAAAGGGGTGCTAAATGTGGATTTCATTATAAATTTACATAAAATTTGTCAAATAAATTATTTTGTTTTTAAAAGGCATTTTTAACATTCATCATAGGGTTTCCCGTTTCCTTATTTTTATAGTAAACGGGTCTCTCAAATTTGATGGATTTCAATTCAAAATTTGACTGCCAGATGTAAATCCCTTTTATAGTTCAAAATTGAATATGAGCACAAAGAACAACAAGTTAGCTTTGTAGAATTAAGTATGTATCGGTTCCTAGAATACAAATAATGCAACAAATTAATGACAATGGCAAACTTTGATATGAAATAAAAGGTAACTAAACTCCTTTCGCCGATCCGATTTGCCCCATATTTAAAATATAGCTTGCATATGTAGAAGAAAAGCTAATTTTGAAGTACGCCCGAAATCCACCAACAGGATTTCGAGCTACTAAAAAGGTACTTTTAAATGTGATTTTTTTTATAAAAAATTAAATTTATTTTAAGATCAGACTAAAAACTAATTTTATGGAAAATCTATATCGACAAATTTATTACTTATTGGGTATATAGATTTTTTGATTATGGCGATTATGTCTGATATGCTTCCAATAAGCCAAAACACATTTCATACTGATTTCTATAAAAGGTATCTTTATTATAGAAGTGTAAGCTATATCTGTTTGTTTTTTTATTATAACAAATTCAAAATTCTCTTATAAGGACTAGATGAAATCTGTATTATTAAATCATTAGCTAAATGAAGGTTCAAATAGAAAGTAAATATCAATTTATATGATACTGAAACCAAATAGTTCTTTTAATAAAGATAACACGCTGAAAATTATTGAGTATTTGCAAATCTCAAAAATCTATTGGTGAATTTGGCTCAACTTTTAAAATTATAACATCCATATCAAATCATAAAAGCAGACAAAAATTAAAGCCAAACCTATCGGCCAATTTTTTTTTGATATTTGATTTTTGAGGTATACTTTTAAAAGTGGATTTAAAGCACTTATGAAAAAACATTAACTTCTGTCGTTATGATTATTGATTTAGACAATAATGATTTTAATCTTTGATTATCAAAACACTAAAGTCATCTTTTTAACATTTGCTTGGTAGCATTAACTCAAGTCTAAAGTACTATTTTATGTGGCACTCTTAGAATTTTTGTATTCATTGTACACGCTGAAATAGTACCATTAAAGTTATGGCAGACTTTCAAAAAATAGTTTGGTCACCTTTTATGAAATATAATTACAACATTAATATTTAATCGAGACCAGCTTCATGATGTATGGAAAATTGCATGCATTAAAAATTTGCCTTACAATTAGTCAACAATTGAAAAAATAGCAAAAATGAAGAAAATGTAACCGAATTTATTTGAATTACAAAGGTTTATTGCAATACTTGATGTTTTTAGTTTGAAACAAACCATTTTTACTATTCAAACATAATATATTCTATAATTTATTTATATAAAAAAATACATGAACAAAATTTTAACAAATTAAGCTGGTATATCTTCTGGTGGTGCAAGAGCTTGGTTAATAATAGAAACCAATTCTTCGTTTAAAAGCTTAATATCTCCAGAAGACATAATATTTAAAAGTTCATCAGCTTCATACCTTGATTTAGACTCTATGAAAGGATGATCATTTGCAGGAGTCCATGAGTCATCTGGATAAAATTTGAAACTTTGTTTTTCGAATCTTCCGGAAACAACAGCATCTCTATATGTTGATACTGATGGGTAATACGTTTTAATCGGGATATTATCGAAGAGGAGAGTTTGATTAGCTCCATTAATCCAACAATAAAATTTGCAATCTTTTTCTGTTATTTCTAATCCAAAACCAACTGTATCATTAACATTAAACGATGGTCCTGGGTATTTTATGGCCTTATGAAATGCATCGCCTGCATCACGTAGTGCATAACCATCCTCTGTGAATCCGACAGGACCTTCGATTGGAGCATTAATAGTAGAAATACCAATTCTGCAATGACCTTGATTACTTTCGGAGCCATTGTATACAATTTCCCAATAATATTTTCCTGGTTTTGATAAAGCACGAGTAGTTCGAACCATACTATATCCAATGCTATTACTATCATGCATTACTTCGTAGTCATTGTTTTTAAATACAAATGAACGTGAAGATTTTAGTTGAGAAAATTTCATTTGCAACTGAAGCTCTGGATCTTTAACATTTGGCAGATATCCAAGAGCAGCTCGTCTTTTAACCGTTAATGGATCAAATTTGAAAGGAATTGAAGTTGATGACATACACAAATAAAAAAAATGATTTTTTATTTATTTTTTTTTCCCCGCTTACATCTCAGAGCTCAAAATTGAACATTTTTTACAACTCGAGAATATAAAATTCATAACCTACATACGGTTTCAACTTTCCACACAAAGTTTGGCTGGAAAATCATCGTTAGATTTTTGGTTGGACTAATTCTGCATTGTAGAAAAAAAATATTTCACATTTATTTATGAAGGAAAATACTTCAGTGATGTTAACAAATTTACTAAAGCTTATATCTGTGGTTTTCAACTCATTACAATTTTCGTTTTTAGAAAATTTCTTGATGACTTATTTCCCGCAAATATAACCCCATTTCTGTAGAAAAACACATTTTGGAATAAATGAATAATAGATTTGATCTTTCTTGTGCTACATTATGTTTTCCAGCATTAACAACCTTTTCTTCTGATACAGGAATTCGAGTATAATTTCTCCGTCATGGGTTATCCTTTTGCTTTTAAGCGCAAATGAATTTGAGTATCGAGATTATGCACAATATGATAAGCAAAGCCAATGTGATACAGTGGAATGATAATTCATAACATAGGATGATGAAATTTAAATTGATTAATTTTATTCATAACACTCTCCATTTTTTATTTGATATTTGATTACTTTAATTAATGTATGTCCATTTTGTCCATATTTAGGAAAAATTCTTTAAAATTTCTCACTTTTTGTAAATAACGTATAAAGAATGGAGCTTCGTCAACACTCCCAGATTGAAGCAAAGGAAAATGCGAAAATCGAGAAAATGAGAAGAGAGCATGCAGAGCGTCTAAAGCGCATTATGGATGAGAAAAACCTTCAAATGGGAATGGATTATGATGCTCTTCAGAAACAAATCGAAGAAAAAAAGGCCAGGCTTCAAGCTGAGAAGGAAGAAGAGGAAGCATACAATCAGAAATTCTTAGCCGAACAAAAACTTCTCGCAAAATTAGCCAAACACGAACAAGCAGAAATAAAACAGATCGAAAAAGAAATAAATGAATTTCGTGCTACACGTCAAAGACCAGAAATGGAACGTGAATACGATTTAAACAGAAAAGATTATATCAAAGTTCAACCTCAAATGCGTATAACAGATAATGATCCATGGCTTAGTGTCAGCAGCGGCCTAAAGTTCGATGGCGAAGATCTTACAGCCGAAGAGAGATTGAAAGCCCAAAAAGAACAAAGAGAAAGATGGGGCAAGCAGCAAATTGCAGAAAAGAAGAACCGCTTAGCAAAAGAGCTCGCAGAAGACAAAGAATGGGAACGCCGTTACTTAGAATACAACGCCATCTCTCGCCAAGTTGGAGAAATGGAAGAACAAGCTAGAAAAGAATGGCGCCAAGAATGCAACGAAGAAAACTTCCGTCTTGCACAAGAAAAACGTGATCGCGAAGCAGAAGAAAGACGTCTAGATCTCGAATTGAACCAATACGAAATCAATGCTGAAACCGAGCGTCTTAATAAATCTCAAAATAACGACGGATCAGATCCAAACGGAAATACATTTGTAGAAGGAAAGAGAGGTCAATCAGATACTCAGAACTACAAGGGCATGACACCAGAACAGATTGAACAGCTTAAACAGATTCAGCTCCAACAAATAGAAGAAGCAAGAAAACGCCGCGAGAAAGAAGCAGAAGAAGAAAGAATTGATGAAGAAAATAGAAAGAAGGCCGCTCGTGAGGCTCTCAAAGCTTCAAGGGCTGAAGAAAGAGAAAGAAAACGCAGATTACTAGAAAATCTTGAGGAAAATAAGAAACTCGCGGAAACAAAGACTATTTCTAGATCTATGGATGATATATTAGATCCGCAGACTGATAACTGGTGGCCATTTGGAAAATCACATCGTTAAATATTATTTGAATTTTTGTTTTATGCAATCTATTAAACATTTGAAGTGATATATATTTATTTTATCTAGTTGATTTATTTCATTAAGGGTGCACTTACCACTTTCTGACATGCGCTTTATAACACAATATATCTTTATTTTTCCAGCAGAAATGTATACCGGCCATATTATGCACTATATTATGATTTATAGTTACTTTTTCCCGACCGAAAATATTAATTCTTGACAATGGAAAATTGGGATCAAAAGCGGTAAGTGCACCCTTAAGGATACATTTGCGTTCATCTGAAAATTAACCATAAACACTAGAAATGGTGACACTGTAATGCTGGCGTATGAACAACATTAAAACAAATTGGAAATAAACAGGCCATTTTCAAAGATCAAAACATGCTTTAATTTGTAATTGAGTACATGAAAAATATTTTAAAATCAATGTTATTGTAATTAAACGTGCCTGGAAGAATACTGGGAACATGGCTCTTTATTATGAATAATTCATAGATTATTTTGATGCTGTTAACAAGTTTTTGAGAGTACTATATATGGATAATGATTTCATCCAAAAATCAAAGAAAGGAGAAACGACTTATTATATGAGATTGAAAAATCTCGGATTACTTATGGTCAAGATGATATACTTGGTAGCACACATATTCATTTTGCACCAATAAACAATAGCCATGAAACATCAGATCAATTCATAATATATTTTTTAGCAGGTATCGACTTCAAAGGTGTAAATGAAAACTCCTCTTCATTATGCAATAGTATTTAAGAACCATATAAGAAAGTAATTATCTTTATTTCCAATCTTGGTACTGCATGAATTTATATTACTTTAACTCTTGGTTTCAAGAATTGATCAATATTCCCTATGATTCCATTCCCTAAAATAGAGATTAGAGAACATGATAGAGTTATCCCAAAAGAAGTCCTCATATCCATATAAGTCTACAAAGTATCAATTTTGAGAAATAACATCAATTTGCGTCTAAATAATAATGATTTCATTCCACAATTCAATAATAAGATAAAATGAATAGTAAATAATATATAACTTTATTATAAAAACAAATCTATATGTAATTGATATATGCTTTCTACTCTGATAAATTCATATTTTCAGATTGGGTATTTTTATTAAATTTATGTATCGCATCGATAATCTTTTGCTTTTCTGAAACACCTTTAGGTGACGTATCTTTAAGATAAGGTTGAAATAAGTCATAAACTGTTTTAAATGGTGGATTTGGACAATTATCAACATCATGACCGAATGCAGCACAGTTAAAACAGAATTTTCCATCCTTCCATGTTTCTTTAATTTCTACAATTCGGGGCTCGGCAGGTAAATAAAGTCCAAATTCATCTTCTTTCCATTCTTTTGGTGCATTTTTAACTGCATTTTGCATTCTTAAATTCATTTCTGCTCTTAAATCTTCAACTGAAGGTAAAATTTGGTGACAATCTATAGTTGCGTGACCAATCATACCACATCTCATGCATATTAGTGATTTATTTACTGGATTTTGGGGTTTTGGCTCCTCTTCTTCTGTAATTTTAACTCCCCACTTTGATTTTTTTGTATTCATAAGTAGAAAGAAAAATCCAATAAAAGTGACACAAAATTTTAAGGGTGGCTTCCGACCAAATTGTCACTTTTTAGCCCAAGTGAGAAAATTTCGTAATTTATAACCAAGTTTTTTAAAATCTATATTTAATAAAGATTCTATTTTTCTTATTAAATTTCAAAAATGAGGGGGTTCGGAATCGTCCACAAATTGCCGAAAGGGTTTTTGCCAGTTTTGAATCCGCTTATTTTTATCGACCAAAATTATAATAAATATAATTTTCGATAAGTATTCTACCCAAATGATTCTTCAAAAAATTATTTTTCGGATTTTATTACGTAAAAAAACGTTACAGAAAACGCCTAGAAAATTTCGAATTTTCCCTAAAAAATTCAGTGCAGGTCGATTTAAGAGATTTTTCAAAAATAATCATATCAGTAGATAGGGTATAATATAGAGAAGCTTTATGAATAACTTAAAATCCGGGAAACTCAATATTCAACGAGAAAAACGCTTAACGAATCTCACTTTTGGTGTAAACATCACAAAAAATTGAGAGGGCTTTCTGGTCGGAAGCCTCCCTTAAAAATTGAAATAAACATATTTTGCTAGTATCTCCTATTAGAAAGCAACAAAATGCTGGTTTGCATCTAAAATTCGGGTTTATTGATGAACATCTTATTTCACATAGTTCAAATATCAATGAAAAAGATAAAGATAGAAGAACTGCTCTTCATATTGCAGCAAAAAATAATAGTAAAGAAACTGCTGAAGTTCTTATCTTGTAAGGTGCAAATATCAATGACAAAGATATTTCTGGAAGTACTCCTCTTCATTGTGCAACAGTAATAAATAATAAAGCAACCGCAGAAGTTCTTATTTCACATGGTGCAAATATCGATGAAAAAGATAAAGATGGAAGAACTGCTCTTCATTATTCAGCATGGAATCATAGAAAAGAAATAACCGAACTTCTTATCTCACATGGTGCAAATATCAATGAAAAAGATAAAGATGGCAAAACCGCTCTTTATATTGCTGTATATTTTAATAATAAAGAAATGGCCGAACTGCTTATATCACATGGTGCAAATATCAATGAAAAAGATAATATTGGAAGTACTGCTCTTCATCATGCAATATGTTATAATAATAAAGAAATAACAGATAGTAAAGAAACAGTCGAACTTCTTATCTCACATGGTGCAAATATCAATGAAAAAGATAAAGATGGCAAAACCGCTCTTTATATTGCTGTATATTTTAATAATAAAGAAATGGCCGAACTGCTTATATCACATGGTGCAAATATCAATGAAAACGATAATGATGAAAGAACTGTTCTTTAGTCATTGACGTATTTTATAAACTTTTATTATACACTTTCGATATCCATATAAAATCCCGCATTTATCAAGTTTTATATCTATATGCTTAGCTATAAATATCGTTCTTGTTTTATGAAATGCATAAATACATAATAATCAAAGCCCGATTAATGCACATAATCGGAGATTATTTTCTCATTATTAGCAAATATGAAAAATATTGACATTTAACCACTTGAATTATTATGTACACAGTATCTATGAGATGTTTTAATTATCAAATTAACGTGAATCATTTTTTTACACGATGAAAAAATCGTTACCATCCTCTAAAAAAGGATAGCCACGAAAAAGGCTTGATATCCATTTTTTGATAACAATTCGCATAGTCCAAAACCAAGATCGATCACGCCAACTCTAGTTGTATGTCTTGCATGAAAATCATGTTGTTTAATTCTTTTAATGATTCATATCGGCATTGAGTACAATATCATATATTATTATGATAACTACAGCTATGTAATATGTATTTAACGTTCAGATCATATTAAATACATATGATTTAGCTTTAAATAATATAATTTCAAATATTTAATGACCACTTTTTCCCACTCTATACTAATTTTTGTATATGCTTAGCCACAGTATATGAATTGCATAGATTTTGTAATAACAGAAATTTTCAAAAATATAAAAGTTTACTTTGATTTTGGTTTAAACAAAACACTAAGCCTTTCTGTAAGCTGAGCTCTGAGTTGATCTCTGTTATCGAAGAAAATTTCGTCATAATGCTGTTTGAAATCAATCAAAACCTCATGAATTGGATCAGGACAATCATCGCAATTAATGTATTCTTCGGCATATGATCTGTTTGAATTTAGTTTAAATGTATTTCCGGATTCTGCAACACAGGCTCTGAAAGTATTTTCCATTTTATGAAGCTTTAGATAACGAAGTATGCATTCTGTTGCAACTGAATATATTTCTTCTTTCTTAATTTGCTTATAAGGCTTAAGACCTTCAATATCTGATTGTTGGACTGCTTCACTTAAATTTGCGAGAAGTCTTGCATGGAGATCAAAAAAAGCACCATTTTTCCTCATCGCTTCCATAACATTTACATTCAGTTGCTTCTGTTGGTTGCTATCAGTCATTTATTCTCTCTATTTTTATTAGATTATCGTTATTTTTTCAATTTTTTTTAAACGTCAGAATTGGATTTTATTATTTTTCTTGAATAATACATTTCAATAACCTAAATAAGTGCATTTCATAATATAAACAAATGAAATGGGAATTATAATTCAAACTTTCATCCAATTCAAACTAAAATATCATGGATTTTTTCATAACTAATCAAAACAAAGAATGTTCCATCACAAAAAAGCTATTTTATTAATCAATAGAATTGAAAGTTTTTCTCATTCATCGAATCTCAATATGCAACTATGATATACATACATACTAACTGAATAGTACGATTTTATCATTTCAAATTTTTTGAGTGAAAAATGCTGAAATCTTCCACAAAATATTTCACGAAAATCAAACAGTCAAGAATGCCAGTTGATTTAATTCTTATTCGAAATGGCACAAGTGAAGGAAATGTCGCAATAAAACGTGCTAGACTCGGATCTCGTTCAGAATTTAGCCAAAATTTTTGTCAAATGCATAATTCACGCTGGAGACTCACCGAATTTGGTATCATGCAAGCTAAATCAACTGGCGAATGGCTAAAAGCAAATTTCAAACAACCATTTACGTGTTATTTAACGGGAGAATATGCTAGCTCTCTTGAGACAGCGGCATGTCTCGAATTAGAAGGTGCTAAATGGATACCTTCGCTATATTTACGACCAAGAGATTATGGTACATTATCTCAATTTGATTTTTTACCAGACAAAAAGGAATTACAGCGTCATATGAAAGACAGAGAGTTAGATACATTCTATTGGGCTCCTCCAAATGGAGAATCAATTGCTCATTTAACTCTTAGAACAGAAAGAGTTATGCACTGGCTCAGAACTCACGTTCCAGAGAATGGAACTGCAGTAATCGTTACACACAGAGATGTTATGGAAACATTTCGAATTAGACTTGAACAACTCCTTCAATTTGATTATAATCGAGTAATTGTTAACGCAAAGGAACCATTTAAACTAAACCACTGCTCATTACTACACTACACACGCCGGAATCCAGAGACAGGGGAAATAGGCCCTTTGTACCAATGGATGAAGGTAAATACGCCATGGATGGGCAAACAATACTCGAATAGGAAGTTTGTTAAGATATCACCTCCAGGATTTACCAACGAAAATCTCCTTGAAAGGATGACAAGATCAAATGATAAAAAATAATTATCTTTTTCCTTTCGTTTTGTTTGACAATGAACATGTAAAAATATTTCTGTTTAGTAACTTCTAAATTTAATTAAAAATGTCATTTATAAATTTCTGCAATATGAAGAGAATATATTCATTGATATTTACACAATTCAAAATAAGGAGTTCAGCTATTTCTTTGTTATTATTTATTGCTACCATCTGAAGAGTTGTTTTCCATTCGGAGAAGCATCTTATATAGGAACATCGAGTACTTTTGTACCATGCAAACTAAGAAGTTTTGCAGTTTCTTTTGTATTATATTCTGCTGCATAGTGAAGAGTGGTTTTTCCATCTTTATCTTTTTCATTGCTAATTGAAAAATACGAGTTAAAAAGTTCAGAAGTTTCTTTACTATTTATAACTGCTATATGATGAAGTATGGCTTCTTCATTTTTAATTTTTTCATTGACATTTGCACCATGAATGAAAGGAGTTCCAATATTTCGTTTTTATAGTTCCATAATGTAGAGTAGTTTTTTTTTCCCATAATCATCTTTTTCGTTGAGATTCGCACCATGAGAATTCACGAGTTTTCCAATTTCCTCGTGAGTTAGATGAACCTTTCTAATTCATTATTCATAATTGATCTGTAAATATATGAATATCCTGATTTAATTCCATATTCCTGCTAAAACAGGAAATTTGAAATGGGCTTCGCTTTTTGACCTCTTGGACATGATAATCATCGGATAAAAGTTTTGTAAGAGGTAAATATGTCTTTATCTACCTATTATTATAAGGAATATTGTATTTAATACCTCTTACAAAATATTCCGGTAGATACTGAATTGATGAAGCCCATAAATATGAAATGGCATGATAACAAAAGTAAAGTCGAAAGCAATAAAATAATCATCAATAATTATAAAATATTTCGATTAATTTCAAGCTCTATGTGCACACTGCATTGGGTGTTATTTAGTCTTTAAAATATATCAGTATTCAGGCTTTATTATCTTGAGAATTTTTTAAATTTTTAAATATCAGCTCTTGAAACTCATTAAAATACAACAATTGATATATAGTTTTAAAGTATGATCGTTAAAACAATCATCTTTTAAAATGTTTTTGTTTTTAAATTTCGCATCTTCAGCAGGTAATATCGCGAAGTTTGGATCATCAATTTCGCTTAGAACAAACTATATATCTATTAGGGATGTAGAACCTAAGGGAAATTACTTATTTTTAATGGCGAATAAATCTTTTACAGAACAAGTGATGGGCGAAGAAACAATTTCGAACTTTAGTTGCAAACAAATTCCAAAATATAGGCATATTTCGTTTAAATTAAATCTCTTAGCTGATGGAAAAGGCAGATTTCAGTTTCCAGCTCTGCGTTCTTATGATTTTTATCTACTCGACTGCGACAAATATGTATTTACAGAACCTCCTAAGGTCAAATATTTAATCGAAAGGCCACTTATCTGGATAACAATTCTTACATTTATCGAATTCGGATTTACAATTGTTGCTAGACTAGAATTCACATCAAAATTCAATGAAATATACAGAGATAATCATACTGTTTACAAATATTTTACATGGCTTTCTCTTTTCTTAATTTTAGTAGATACATTCTATTGTTTGATTTCATTAATCGAAATTAATGCTCCCAGAGAGGAAAGTCGTCTATACTACTCACTGTTTAAGTACATTCACATTGCTTTTATTTTCGAATTTGCTTATCTTTATATCTCTGGCTATCCAGTGATAGATGTCAAGGCTAAATGGCATCCACTATGGATGATACTTATTGCCTGCTCATTTTTATCTGAATCAGGCACGTTTTTGAACAAAATTATTTTGGGATTATGTCCAATCATCGTTATTACGTTCTACATGGAAGCTAAAGGCTTCTCTGTTGAAGTTGATAAGTTCAAAGAGCATATCAAAACAATAGAACCCGAAGTTCGTGAAAAAATTCAAAAATTCCACTTAGATATCCTTCCTTTCTTATATTACAAGAAGTATATACATTTCGCTGTTGTTGCTGTAACACTGACAACATTCGCTCCGTTCATTGAAACTATTTTTCACCTTACTCCTGTTTTGGAAATTCTTTTTTACGTAATTTCAGTTTATTTGATGATGCCGTGCGCTGTAAAGCAAATTGTACAACTTGAAGGAATTGTTCTCGAAAAATTGAACCCAACAATGCTTGCAGAATAATATTTATAAAATGTATTTTTTTTATTTCGACTAAACATATTATATTTCCTGTTTTATATGACTTTAAGAGTTTAAATCATTAATATGAGCTCAAACCTATTGGAAAAAACAAAAATAATTAACAAATTAATGAATCTAAGAACAAAAATACTTCGTATTACAATAATTTTACTCTTTCCTTTTGTTAGTGCTTAGATATTCTTATGAAAATGATACTGTTCTCTCTATATCGGATAGTTCTTTAAGTTTCAAGATACAAGCTCTAAAATAGAGTACCCGAAATAAGTTGTAGACGAGGGGATTTGTTAATGCCAAATGATTATAAACAACATAAAGTGCCATAATACATGCCATACTCGCAAAAGTCGATATTCAAACCCTCTGTATAAAGATGTCTACAGCTTATTCCGTTGTCTACAACTTATTTCGGGTACTCTAAATTATGAAGAACAAAGTTTCAATTTCAACTAAATGAACTATTATGAAGAACGTATTTTCCAGATTCATTGAAAGATATAATTTATATAATTATGAGAAACAAATAAATGAAGTAAAAATATATTACAATATTATTTATACATTACAAACAAACAAAATCTATATTAAGAACGCCTTGAATGCATCATTTCTCTAAACAATGATATTATATAGAGTATAAATGATGCAGAAACAATGAAAATAAACGATCCGAAGAAAAGAATTCTTCCGTCATCTTCATTTATAATTTTTTCTGCGTTATACAAATAACAGCTTTCATCCGAACTGAAATCAAAGTCTGGATTTGTATTTTCATCATTCATTATTATCTTTATTGGTTGAACAAGACTTCTGCATCTCTCAGGCAACGTATTATAAACAGGACTAACAGATAACAAGCATTGATGACATGTAAATCCTTTTGGCAAATAAAATGAAAAATTACCAGTATTTTCAACATAAAAAGTCATTTTTGTTGTCTTCAACTGATAGTCAAACAACGAAATATATGCCATCTGGTCATGTTCAGAAGGAGGAACTCTGTCAAAGCCATTTTGCCATCTAACAGAAACTTTAGTAAGTGAATCAGGACTCGTTTTATACAACTGATACTTCTTTGGCCTCAAAATTTTGTTTTGAAGTGAAGAACGATAAATTTTTATTGGTTTTGAAACCAATAAATTTGCGGATGGAACTTCGATGGCGATTTCCAATTCAGCATCATCAGAAAAGATACAAGGAATCTGGATATTTTCGATCTCTTCTTGAACATGAGACGATAAAAGTGCAATCTGACGATTTGTCACTTTTTCAATTAATAAAACCAAACAATTTAAACCTTCTATTTGTGGATAATATTTCAATTTGATATCGAACTTTTTGAGGCATGTAATAACGGAAGGAACGGAATCAAACTCAATGTAATCAACATTCGTTGGCCAGTTGTTTCTGTCGAATGGATCAATGGAGTTCTGGTTTAGAACTAAACTCGAATTTAATGGATTTTCGGTTCCAAAAATTTGAAGTGTCACTTTTGAAATGATTGTTTTTGGTTGACAGCCTGAAACAGAAAAAGAAATTTTCCAGGCACCATTTGGATTTTCTCCGAAGAAGTTTCTGCAGAGGAATCTTCTCTCCATTCCGATGGATTCGACGAAATGGGAGCTAAGAGTTTTGACTTCTGCTTCCGTTCCTAATGGAGATTCAATTTTTATGATCATTTGACCAAAAATGTCTTCGGATATGGAAAACTCAAGAATCACGGCTTCGGAACAGCTTATAGATGATTCGAAATCAATATAACAATCAATAGGTTCAGTAAAACAACTTTCAAAAGTGATATTTTTCTGACAAAAAACGGTTTTGTTGATTTCTTTTTCAATTTTCTGCCAATTGTTTGCTAACTCGAAAGCACGGCCTACATTGATTCTTCCGAACCCGTAGAAGTGGGAATACCAAATTCCAGCTGCGTTTTTCTGCCAACTCTGAAAAAACGGATCATTTCTGACACTTGTCAAAGCGGTTATGTATTGAATATCTCTCCAAGACAAATCCGGTCTTTTTGAGAGTATTAGAGCTAATGCACCTGATACAATAGCAGCGGACGCCGATGTTCCGGCCACTTTATTGTTGCATGACGATGTTCTGCCTTTTGCTGATGATAAATAAGGAATATTAAAATTATCATCAAGTTTCCAGTGAAATCCGCCTGAAGGAGCGTTCACAAATAATGAACAGCCTCTGTTGGAATAATATGCTCTTGTTCCTCTGTTTGTTGTCGCTCCTACGATTATTCCAAATCTTGACTGTTGCATAAACGTAAATCCGGTATCTCCACCTATATTTCCATTATCACCAGCAGGTAATACGTATATTAAACCTAGATTATTTCGAGATTTTTCAAAATAATTTTCCATTGAATTTAAAAGGTCATCTGAAGTGGTTTCTTGTGGACATTTCGGATAGTTATCTGTCTTAGAATATCTGCATCTTCTTATTAATGTGTTTAGTTTGATATTCGACTCATTAAAATTCATTTTTGAAATTAATAATAATTTGTCTTGATTATTAATAGATGAGCTATAGTTAACACATGCAAATGATGCCAGAGGTGCAATTCCTCTTCCGCACTGTGAATTGTAAGATCCGACAATTAAACCAACGAGATGGGTATCTTTATCAACTGATTCATTCGCTGGAACTGCTTCGTTGCAATATTCCAATTTTATTGATTTGTAACATCCTTCTATTAAAGATTTTGAATTATTTGATGAAAATCGACGAATTATATCGTTATGCATCATGTAACATCCATTACCGATCAATGTGACCAAAACATCCTTACCTTCATTTCCATCTCTCCAAACTGTAGTAACATTTATATCTTGGCCTGGTAATCCGTAATTTTCGCCAATATTCTGCATATGGAATTGTTTTTGAGCTTCATTTTCAAATGCTAATATTCTATCAATGCTCTGAAAAGTATAAGGAATTTTATTTAACGTATATTGTTGTAATTCTGCAGGCAATTGACTAGAAGCTGAAAATATGACTGTTCCGTTTATTCTTTTAAAAACTTGTTGTGAATAATCTGAAAATCTATTAAATTCACTCCCATAACATGTATAAAGAGCTAATCTACTATCACCAGTATTTGCATTTACTGGAATATATTCTTTTTCATCACTAGAAACTTCCGAGAATGCCAGTGATGAAAAGAGAAAAAGAAGCATTCAATTTCTGAAATAGCTCTTGCAAAATCCAAGATTTTATGTTTAGATTGGATCAATTCTTTGATAAATTATTATTAAATCATCTATCACTTGCAAAGGGTATACGACAAATGCTTTTCTATCTTTAAACATACTTAGTTTCATCAATTGTTTGTGTGAACTTCTCTTTTAACGGTGTCTATACCAATTGATTTTATATTTGAGCAATCCTTATCAAATACAACCTTCCATTTATAAATCAGAGAATTGATTTGTAATTTTGAATAATGATTTGAAATCTCCCATAAATATATAAATGAAAATGATATATGTGGAAGAGTGTCTCCTCACCATACTGTATTCATAATTGATTAACTGAAATTACAGATTGAAATCTCCCAAAAAATACATATATTTATGAATGTTAAATATCACTTGGGAAGCCTATATGAATGCGAATTTGAAATATTGTCTATATCTTCAAGAGAAATAAACATTTCGTCAGGTGAAAAATCAAGGTATAAGTTTGTTATATTGGTGAGCTTTGAGGCTTTGAGGAAAAATAAATATACATGATGCGTAAGGGCGTATTTAACACCAATGGATTTAATCATCATATCTGATTATATAATAACTTTCATTAGGCGCTCAGTAGTAAAATGATTTTTATATTACCTCTAATATTTATTCATAACAAAAAAAGTATATCTATATAAAAATTATTCTTTTTCAGAATATCTTCTCAATAAAACTGGTTTATCGAGTTTTTCTTGAATCCATGGTCCGCTCAATACAAGAAGAACAGTTACTTCTTCAGGGATATGTAGATTTTCATGCAATTTAGGAGAAACTAAGAAATACTGAGTGTCATTTCCTTGTCCCATTGCGCAGTTCATTGCGTGTGTGAATGTGGCCACTTCATTTTCTTCGTCCATTCCTTGGTTGATTTCATCAATAACTCGAAATGGAAATGGAGTACAACTCTGCAAAGCCAGTAGATATAAAAGAGTTGCAACACTCTTCTCTCCACCACTTTGCCTTGTTGAACTCAATGCTGTCATTTCGGTATCTTTCTTAAATGAAACCATTAAATCAATTTGGAAACTCATGTCCATTTTCTCGCGTTCTGCAGATAATCTTACGTTTCCATTGAAGCCACATTCCGTCATCATCTTCTTAAAAGTGGCTCCAAGCGGTTTCAAAATGTCATTTGCAGATCTTTGCCAAATTTGTTGGTTTTCGAGGTTCTTTGCGGCCAAAATCTCGATTTTACCAACCAAAGTACTCTTTTCTGTATCGGCTGCGTCCAACTTTTTCTTTGCATCTTCGTATTCTTGTCTGATTTCGGGTCTTATCGATTGTATTGCGGACAATCTTGTCTTAAGTTCACTCCTCATCGAAAGAAGCTGCTCTAAATCACTAGGAAGGTTGTTTATGTTCTCTCTTTGTTCTTGAGTAAAAGAAACTTTTCTTTCTTGTCTGAGTTCTTTGATAATCTCCTTTAATTGCATGTACTTCTGGCAGTCATTGGTGTATTGGTTGTTCGCTTGTTGGTACTTTAAAACACTTTCGCGATATCTTCTCTCGAGATCGTCTTTTTGGGCTTCTAATTTTTCTAGTTCTGCTGTTCTCTTGTCGATATGAAAGATTTGGTCTTTCATTTGGCGTAAAACTTCATATAATTTCATTAATTGATCAGCTAAAGCATCATTTAACTTTTTAAGTTTGTCCTTGTACATTCTCGGTTTCTCCATAATATCTTCAAGTTCATTTTGCAATCGTTCGATAGTTTCTTGGGCCTTTTTAAGCTTTTCTTTTGAATTTCTTGCTGTATTCAAACGAGAAACAATGGATTGAAGTTCCGATTGTATTTTTCCGCATTCGTCGTTCAATGTATTCAGTTCTCGATCTAGATCTTTCTTCTGATTTTCTGCAATTTGTTTTCTTTCTTCACATTTTTCGATATTTGCCCGCAGCAACTGGCTATTAATAGCACTAGACGAATTCACCCCAGTCCAAAGATACGAAGGTTTAACAGCTTTGATAAATGTGCTAATAGCACCTTGATGATATCTTGAACTGTAGATTCGATAGACATAACCTTGAATAAAGTATCTGCGGACACCCAAATGGAAAAGATCTTGCGGTTCGCATGATATTTCTTGATCTGAGCAAGGATTTCTGTCGAGCCAACCCAAAACATTGAAAAATTTCTTAACTAGATCAGGCGCGTCATATACTTCTGATAGCCAATGATTAAATCCGAGCCTTGCGAATTCAGGTGATCGATTAAATGGAGGACGCTTATCTTCTGTAACTCTTACAAGCGTAATTTGTGATAATTTGTATTGCTTGCAAAAAGCCATTAATTCATCTTGGTCATCTGGGTGTTCGCAAATGAATGCAAATTGAAAATTTGGATCAACAGCGTCAAAAAAGTATTTTGCGTAGTAAGGATCAGGAAAATTGATTTCTGATATTGCCGGTCCATAGACTTCGCCCTTAAAATGGGTTTTATTTTGAGATATAAAATCACATAAAGTTTTTATGTCTTCTCTGTGATGTTTCTCTATAATCTTATCAATAATTTGATTCTTCTGGTTCTTTAGTTGCGAAAGCTTTGATTTTATGTTAGAAATTTCATTGTTACATTCTTTAATAACTTTCATTTCTTCTTCTATCAATTGTTTCTTCTCCGTTAGAGCTGTTTTATATGAATGAAGTTTTTCTTTAAGTTCTTTGGCTCGTTCGGCCAATAATCGCTTTTCTTCTTCAGGAATTGCTTCATCTTGGATTTTTTTAATGTTATCGCTGATTTGCTTCATGTTTTCGGACTTTTGAGCTAACATTTCTTGAGAAACCCTTAGTTTGTTTGCGGCTTCGCGTTTTTTGCCTGTCATGTTTGTGAAATAATTTTGATAATCAATAACTTTGGATTGCATGTTTTTAAATTCTCTCTCAGCAACTGTTTTATAATCAGAAACAATTTGGAGATTAGTTTTGCAAGTTTCCAACTGTTTACACAAATCTTTTTTCGTATTTTCCAAATCTTGGATAACAACTTGATTTTCACGAAGAGTTTTCTTTAGAGCATGATATTGGATCTGAGTTTCTTCAGCATTGACCATTTTTATGCGAAATTCGACTTCTTGAATTTGTTGTTCTGTTTTTTCTCTTTTATCAAGTCTACTGACATCATTCGACTTCTGTTCAACTATTGTTTTGTATCTGTTGTAGTTTTCTTCAAGATCTGCTAAAGCTTCTCGTTTTTTCGATACATCATCCATTGATTTTTGAATTTTTAGCTTTTCAGCTGCAAGATCCGGACTGATAATAGTCAGTGTAGTATCTAAGAGCTCTTTTGGCTTTAATGCAGCAAATTCTTTCACTCTTTCTTGAGGTAAATACATGCAAATATTATCAACATGAATTTTCAATGTTTCCATTAATTTTTGTAGGTCTACTGGTGAAAGCTCTTTGAATGTTTGCTTTTTCTGACGATATCTCCATGTTGGTTTTGTAGCTGATTTTTCTAAAGTGCAAAGTATAGTTATAAGTGGATCTGCTTTAAGAATTATCCGAATCTTTGCTGTTTCACATCCGGCTCTAATGAAATTTGAAAGTTTCGATGAATTATTAATCATTGCTGGCGAAGCACCAAAGCAAATACCAATTGCTGCAATAATTGATGACTTTCCACTTCCATTGGTACCAAGAATCAAGTTTGTTCCTGGACCAGGGCATACCGTTATTTTATCAAAAGCCATGAAATTCTTCAGTTTAATCTTAAGAATTGAACCTAACGCGTGCTTGTCTCCATAAATAGGCTCCTCCAGTTTCAATTTCTCCCGTATTGGAGACTGAAGGGTTCTTGAAGACATTGAAAAGATTTTAGATTTTTTTCCTTCAAGAATAACCAGGAAATATTTTTTTTCGTTTATTAAAAAAATAAAGATGTTTATCTTATACAGAAACACATCAACATTGCTACAGTTCTGTCAGTATTGATAGTCAAATTAGACTCTCAACTTGAAAGCATTGTGATATTTATGAATAGTGTCCTAAAAATGTTTTTCCACAATGTTTTCATTACATTTCTGTCATTTATTTTACTGCAAATGCCAAAAAGATTGATCATAATTTCACATGGCGTAACTGGTTCTGCAAATTCATGTTGGATTCAATGGCTTAAGAACCTGTTAGCAAATGAGACTACTGAAGTTGTTACTCCATCATATCCAAATTCTGATGATCCTGAATATCCTGTATGGAAAGATTGCTTCAATGAGATTTTATTAAATAATGAATATGAAGAGTTGTTCGTTATTGGACACTCTCTTGGTGGATTCTTTACGTTGAAATTATTGGGTGATTTTCTATTTGAGAATCCAAAACTGAAAGGTGTTGTACTTGTTGCTCCAACATCGATTAAACGTCCTGAAAGAAGAAGATTTTATACTGAAGCAATCAATTGGGAAAATGTCCGTAAAGTTAACTGCCCAATCAATCTTTTATTCAGTGATGACGATCCTAAAATATCAGTTGATCATATTAAGCTTATCTTATCAGAACTCAAAGATAAACAAAATCTTGAATATAGAAATTACCAAAATCTCGGCCATTTCATAGTTACAGAGTCACATGAAGTCCTTGATGCTGCAAAAAGCATACTAAATTAAACATTTAACTTAATTCAATAATAAAATATCAGATTTACTGATTAGAAACAATAATAATATAATAAATTTGAGTTCTAAGTATATTACAAGAATTTTGCAATAAATTCGTAATCATTTTGGCTGAAGTAAATTGAATTTGATTATTTTGCTTAATCTGATTCATCTTCACCTAAAGATCTATTAAGTTTAAGCTTTTCTACGTTGGTTGATTCTGTTGTGATTGTTGGGGCTTCAAGTTGAAGTGAATCTTTGAAAATTGTAGCTTGATTCATTACATTGTACTGTGGCATCCAAGGGAATTCACCACGATGTGCTGGAGCACCAGATGCAGCCTTTGAAATATTCTTTGCAGACATCAAAATGTCACTAACTGTTGGTAACTCTTGATGCTGGACACTACGCTGGATTTTCTGTGCAGTAGCAAGGCATCCTTGAAGAGATGTCTGAGCAGCAGAAAGATTCTTTGCAAAATCATTAACGCGCATTGATAATGTTGATAATGTTTTTTCTAATTCCTCAATCTTTTGCCGTCTTTCACTCCATTCGTCCATTCTAAGGAGATGACGCTTTAATTCAGCATCAATTGATAATAAATCTTGAACTTGGAGAATAACAGGTGAATCGTGCTTTTTATGGTTAACATCGCATGCATGTTCAATGCATTTTAATATTCTTTCTAATGACTCTGTATATGCAGAAAGGCAATTAGACAATTCTGCAAGCAAAGGCATCTGCTTAGACATCTTTTTTTTTCAGTGCTTTGTAAAGTTCTCAATTAAGTTGAAAATAATCGTACATCATATTTCCAAAATCCTTTAGACATGCATTATTACGGTATTTGAAGAAAGACAATGAGAACATAATGCAATTTGTGTTCACATATAAATTCATTAAGGACAATTCCAATTTTCACACTTTTATTTTCAAATTTAAGTTTTTGAAGTGATAGACAAACTAATATTTGACTATTATGTATAATTTATCCATTGCTTTTCTTGAATTCTTGAAGATAATACTATATTTTTTATTTGTGCATTAGAATTGATTAGATGCGAATCAATATTACAAATCTTGTCAATTTGTTAATGTTATTTGATCATAAAAAGATTATGGTCTTGGTTGTTTTGTTGAAAAAAAAACTTTATTGTTGAAAAAATAATATATAAATGATTTATTTACACTGGTGTTTTCTAAGTACTTTGATAGCATCCTCACTATTTCTTTCTACTGCAAGCATGAATGGAGTTTTTCTGTCATTATTTTTGACACTCTTTTTAATTTTTGAATAAGATAGTAACTCTTCACATGCTTCTGGTTTATTTCGGATGGCCGCTACGTGTAATGGAGTGTAACCTTCGGAATCTTTTGCATTTATATCAGACTTGTGATTGACCAATAAGTACCTAATACCATCGACACATCCGCTATAACAAAAAAGATGTAAAACAGAATAATTTGAATTCGGAACAGGAGTAATTGGAACTCCAGCTTCAATAAGTTTCATAAATGTATTTTTTGAGCCAACCAAAGCAGAATATTGTAAAATATTGCAATTTTTATAAGTAACATCGACAAATTTGTGACTGACAAAAGATTTCAATGTATCTTGGTCATTGTTGCTTGACGCGCTTTCAATTATACTGTAAATCTTACCAAAATACTTCTTTATTGGATCTGGAGATAGATTTTCTGCTTCTTTCTTTTCATTAAAAGAATTTGAACTGGGTCCTCTTGAAAGATTTTTAGGTTTGTTGGTTAGAAAATATGTTGATATATCACTGAAAAGTTGAATTTGAAAGATATCTGAAAGCGTATTTAGAACACTAACAATTCCCTGATCTGAATCATTTAAGTCAATACGAGATACACCCAGCATATTGATTAGCTTGGATTTATTAAAATAATGGCCGAGATTCTTAAATAAAGTAACAAATTGGGAAATTGAGAGCTTAAATGTTTTTAAAAGAGTTAACTAAAAATTTTTAAGTTTTGACAATGAAAATAAGCTCTGTGACCATGTAAATATATATCTATGCAAAACGAGAGGTTATGCCATAATTTTTTTTAGTTATCAAATTTCCCTTTTTTTGAGAGAAGTCTCTCAATAATTTGAGAAGAATCTTTGATATAAAGAGATACACATTTGTAGAACGAAGTAAGTGTTTTCCAAACATTTTATATGTTCATCCTGTATAACAATATAAAGCTGCATAGTGCCATCTTGTGCGTTTGCTATTTTATGTACTTTTCATTGAGATAATCCCTCTTCTCGGGTGATTTTAACAGTCAACTCAATTTTAAAATAAAGATTTCATCAAAATGATTTCGAAATTCGGATATTGATTATATAAATAGCACTGTTAACATATTTTGGATGAGTAAAAAATACCTTGTTTTGTATGCATTTAGTACACCTTTATTTTTGATTAAAACTATAAAATTTTTATTCCTTATATAATAAATAGTATATGTTACATAAACATGAAATTCAATAGCATTCAATTTTGGATTTTTTAGATTTGGTAAATTTTAGAAGAAATAAAATCAGCAATCAAAATAAAGAAACTTTTTTTGTATCTTCTATGATTACCTTTTGGTACTAAATTTTGCATTAATAAGTAAATTATCTGTATTATTCTGTGAGCACAAGCCCTCAGTTATGCTGGTAGTGAATGAGGAATCGTCATTTTGCGAAGAGAACGCGATTATTAAGGTAATTTTGAGAATTGTCTTGAATTATTTAAAATTAAAGTTAATTGAATAGGTAGGATAACTAGCCTTTGCTAAATTTGTATAATTTGACCTTATTCTAGTTGGATCTGAGAATATTTTGCTGAAATAATAAATTATATCGCCGATTTATGAAAATTTCTCTGATGGGACCGACTCGCTGAAACGTATTAGTGTTAATGGTAACTTGTCTGAATTTTCAAATTTTTTTCGAAATCCAAAAAATCACAAACAAAAGCATCAAAATTAGATTTGCATTTAAGGTTTTCATTTTTTTTTTGGAAAATAAAAATATTTTTTCCCCAATAAAGTTTATTTTTACTTTTGAGAGGAATAGAAACGTTATTTTGGAATTTTGAAACGACAGAAATGTTCCATTTTTAATGTAGATTCTAAAATGGGGTCAAATTTTTGATTGAACCGTTATCCATTGAAAAACCTCTATTTAAAAATGTTATTCCAAAATATTCATCTAATGATATAGTATATATTTATTAATTATTACTTTTTATTCAATTTTCACTTTTGGCGGGATTTCATTTTTTTGTTGTTGTATGGGCCATATTGTTCACCCAAAACGGAAAACAAAGGCAATACATAACATTTTACTCCACGAACGTCGTCGACTCTCAGCGCGACAGATGCTTAGTGCTTGCATAATGACCGGAATGCCATATACAAAAGGTGCTCGCTTTCTTTCTCTTTGTGGAACTAAGCCCCCTGTGAAGAGTGGTGTCATGAGACAACAGAGATTTTGTGACGATAAGATTAGAAGACTTAAAAGTATTTCCCTAATGCTGTCGAGAAAGTCCTTCAGTGGTTACTTATCCATTGATGCAAGATGGACGCACAGGCGAAACTCGCCAAGTTGTACAGTAACTGCGCTCGAAGTTAGTATACATATCATGGGTACGGAGGCACTGCGCGCCTCCTTACCCATTATATGTGAATTTGACACTTTACGAAACCGTTAACGTATATTTTACAACACAAACGACAACACTAACTTAACCTTAAATATTTACAAAGCCGCCAACCACTTCACCTCACTAATGTAAAAATAAACGTTCTCACTTACAAAAGTATTGCAACTCCTCCCATTGCTGTGCTTCACATAACAGCTCATAATCTTCTGACTCACTTTCTTCTTCATATAGGTCAAAATCACTGTCAAAATAAATGTTAGTAAGTTTTGACAAAGCTAATGAAACACGCTTACCGTTTGTATCATATGCTTGTATAAACTTTCCATTATGCTTGTAGTCATAAACGCTCAAACTAACTTTACCCTTTCTCCCTCGTATCTGATAGAATGTATTTTCACGAGGAACGAAGAACAAATTCTTGAACTCATGACCGTTGTAGTTTGTTATCTCAATAGTTTTCGTCATTTATATAAAAATAAACTTAAAAATAAACTTAAAAATTAATGATATCACCACCCTCACACGTATGAAAACATAGCGCAAAAATAAATTTAGGTGAAGTGGTGAAATCTAACCCGATATCTAACCCGATAACTAACCTTGTGAATTTACACCAAAAATAAATTTAGGGTAGATGGTTAGATCTAACCCGATTTCTAACCTCATTTCTACCCTCTTGAATTCATTGCTTTATAACTCTCTTCCTTGGTTTCTTTTTAGTTGCTTTCTTCACGTCTGTCTCCAACTTGACTGTCTTTCTTCTTCGGCCGTAATGATACCAGTTACTTCCACCAGTCAATGGGTCAAATGGTCTTTCGTAAGGGTTTCCATACATTCCATAGGGACCATACGGAAGAACTACTGGTGGAGAAGAAACATTTTCTTTAGTTCCATCGACTCTATTTAAATGCATTGTTTCACCTTTCATCTGGTCATTAAAGTCTTTTGCGTGTTTTGCAAACTCATCGTCCTTTCCTAAAGCATTTTCTGACTCAGTCGCAACTAAATTGGATGCTTTATTTATGAGCCCTATTTTATTTAATCTTAACTTCTTTGCAACCCAGCCTCCAATATTTCCTTTATTTGCATCTAATGTCTTCGAAACCCTTCCTCCACTCATTTTATTTACTGCGTCATAAGCTCCATGTGCTTTTGCTCCAAATGCTAATGCTTTTGTTCCCATTGCGCCTAAAGCTGCCCAAGCTACCATTTACACCATATTAAAATCATCTCTCTTCAATATTATCTCATAAAAGTTCTCGTTACTGGAGAAAGTCAATGAAACATAAGCGTTCTCACGGGCTTCGCCCTCACCGCTTTGCGGTCTATCTAACTTCTTTCTTATATCATCTATACGCTTCAAAATGTCTGAACAATTGCTAACATCTTCTACAACAGTTATTTCATCATGAATGACCTTCAAGAACAAGCTCATTTAATATGCTATTAAAATCATCTCAATAATGAGTCCATCCTTTCCGTCTTTGGGTAGCACAACATCTTTCATTGAAGAAGGTTCGACAAGTCTTATGTTAAACTTACTGACAAAGTTTGTTATACTATAATGCTTCGGCGGCGAATACATGTAGTTTGAAAGACATAATATAGATTCTTCAGCAAATTCACTTATACTGGATTTTATAACAATGTTCTCACGAGACCAAATACCACCAATTGACAATCTTGTAAGCAATCCTGCTGAACCTTTTACTGTAAACGTCGATGGTAACATTCCACGAAGGTCATCTATTGACATCGTTGAGTCACTGTATTTAAATATTTTCTTAAAGCAATCGTCATTATCTAACCATGCAATAGCTTTGAAGTTTTCATTCGAATATACATCTGCTTCATTAAATGTAAAACCTGACTTCTTTGCAGAGACGACTTTAAAATCTATTGAGTTTGTTTCAAAATTATATGCTATGGTAACTTCTGAAGGTAATGGATGCCCTTCCGCAGTCAGTTGTTCTCTCACTACCGTTTGAAGCTTTGTATTAAAAACTTTCATGTCATCTCCTGTATCTAAGTTCACATACACAGCAACAGGGAAACTATCTTGCTTCTTTGTTTCATCATTATATCTCAAAACATTAAAGTTCTTCAATAATATTGTTCTTCCTGCTGGAATACTTCGAACCTGTCTGATTTCAATAGCTTTCTCACCTCCTACATACTCTACCCAGTGTCTTGGATATTCATAAGTATACTGACTTTCTTGAATTTTGGTTGGTTTCATCATAACATGTTCATAGTATATCTTTATACTCTTGTCAGTTAGACTCGGTGCTATGTTCTGAATATTTCTGACTTGCATTTTTAATGGAGATAAAATGAAGCATTTAATACATGACGTAGATGAAGACATGAATGAAAGCAGTGAAAAGCTCAACAGTTCTCTCATTCTTCCTTTCAGTAAGGACTATGAGTTCTGTTCAAATGGTGTGTATTTCTATTGTGGAAAGATGGGTTCAGGTAAGACATTTAATTTAATTCGTCATATACTCATAACAGAGCGTTTAGGAAACGACTCTTACTATGACCAAATCATTATATCAGCAACTTCAGACTCTATGGACTCAACAGCGAAAACATTTATGTCAAAAGTTCAAGCCTCTGTCGTTAAAGTTCCAGACAGTGAACTCATTGAATTTCTTCAACGTTACATTCGACGTAAGAGGAAATATTATGCCATCGTTGAATTTATACAGTCAGGAATGCAAAAGACTTCTGAGGAGATGGAAAGAATTATTGACAAACACCACTTACGTCAATACTCAGGAGTATACGATATGAAACGACTTACAAACTACATTCTGTCAAAACTTTCAAAATACCCCTTCAAAAAATATCCATCAAACACTTTATTAGTTTGTGACGACTTCGCCGGAAAAGGTTTAGTGTCAAAACCAGACTCACCATTAGCTAACATCATAACTAAAGTCAGACATTACCATTTAACTGTAGCAATACTTATGCAAACATGGAGGTTTTTAGCTTTAAACATAAAACGTCTCATAACTGACTTTGTTATCTTTCAAGGTTTCTCACAGTTAGTATCCCTAAGTCGTGTACTGTGGCACTGCGCGCCTCCGTACACCACTTAGCGGTTTTGACACTTTACGAAACCGGTAACGTATATTTTACAACACAACCATAAAACCAACTTAACCTTAAATATTTACAAAACCGTCTGACACATAAATGATTTCACTAATGACTTCACTAACGACTTCACTAACGACTTCACTACCGTCCTCACTAAATAAAAATAACCTTATTTTTATTTTTTTTAAATTTTTTATTTCATTACAAAGACATGTCCGACTACATTTACTATGACTCTTTCCCAGAACGTTTCCGTGAACTATTCAAAACTCAAGTAAAACTGAGAAACATGCATTTTAACAAAGACAGACCCATTGACGATGAAAGAAACCCTGAATATATTACAATCCCTTATGACGCAAAGTTCATTGCATACATTCCTTATGGTCGCAGAGGAACGAAAACTATTTCAACAAAGAACAAAAATTATTTCTGGAGCGATGAAGAAAATTGCCTTATCTACATAAATGCATACTTAAATAAAGCTACATATTGTACAAAAGAAGGTTGGACTGGATTTGAGCTCTACATATACGACGACGATGGAAACAGACGTTGTGTATACCCATACGATAATATGTACCATTGTTTTCATCAAGCATTAAACGAATACATAGTCAGTAAGGGTCTCATTCCTGCTGAGTAGAAATGTTATATTTTTGTTCTGTCATTTATATAAAAATAAATGATATCACCACCCTCACACGTATGAAAACATAGCACAAAAATAAATTTAGGTGAAGTGGTGAAATCTCACCTCTTTTTTCACCTCTTTTTTCACCCTAGCCGCTTTGCGGCTCTGACCCTTTGGGTCTGTTGAATTCATTGCTTTATAACTCTCTTCCTTGGTTTCTTTTTAGTTGCTTTCTTCACGTCTGTCTCCAACTTGACTATCTTTCTTCTTCGGCCGTAATGATACCAGTTACTTCCACCAGTCAATGGGTCAAATGGTCTTTCGTAAGGGTTTCCATACATTCCATAGGGACCATACGGAAGAACTACTGGTGGAGAAGAAACATTTTCTTTAGTTCCATCGACTCTATTTAAATGCATTGTTTCACCTTTCATCTGGTCATTAAAGTCTTTTGCATGTTTTGCAAACTCATCGTCCTTTCCTAAAGCATTTTCTGACTCAGTCGCAACCAAATTGGATGCTTTATTTATGAGCCCTATTTTATTTAATCTTAACTTCTTTGCAACCCAGCCTCCAATCTTTCCTTTATTTGCATCTAATGTCTTTGAAACCCTTCCTCCACTCATTTTATTTACTGCGTCATAAGCTCCAAGTGCTTTTGCTCCAAATGCTAATGCTTTTGTTCCCATTGCGCCTAAAGCTGCCCAAGCTACCATTTACACCATATTAAAATCATCTCTCTTCAATATTATCTCATAAAAGTTCTCTTTACTGGAGAAAGTCAATGAAACATAAGCGTTCTCACGGGCTTCGTCCTCACCGCTTTGCGGTCTATCTAACTTATTTCTTATATCATCTATTCGCTTCAAAATGTCTGAACAATTGCTAACATCTTCTACAACAGTTATTTCATCATGAATGACCTTCAAGAACAAGCTCATTTAATATGCAATTAAAATCATCTCAATAATGAGTCCATCCTTTCCATCTTTAGGTAGCACAACATCTTTCATTGAAGAAGGTTCGACAAGTCTTATGTTAAACTTACTGACAAAGTTTGTTATACTATAATGCTTCGGTGGCGAATACATGTAGTTTGAAAGACATAATAAAGATTCTTCAGCAAATTCACTTATACTGGATTTTATAACAATGTTCTCACGAGACCAAATACCACCAATTGACAATCTTGTAAGCAATCCTGCTGAACCTTCAACTGTAAACGTCGATGGTAACATTCCACGAAGGTCATCTATTGACATCGTTGAGTCACTGTATTTAAATATTTTCTTAAAGCAATCGTCAT